AACACAGTGTCTCGCGACTTTCCTACCTTTTCGCGCACCTGGATCTTCTTTCTTCTGAGACTTTCTCTTTTCTTCTTCGTTCTTCTTCTCTGCTCTGCGCTGACTCTTTCCGTCTCTGCTTTTCATCTGTCCATATTGTCGGAAGTTTGACGTTTGACTTCTAAACATATTTTAATTGATATAATAAAACATAATTTATATATATATATGATTATATATGTGTGTAAGTATGTATGCATGTATATTAGGTATAAAATATCAATAAATATATATATATATAATACATGTGTTGTTATATGTATTGCATTTTATCTTTTATTACATATATATATACATATATATATATGTCAACGAATGTTAACTATGTTAATTTTATCCTTAACCTTCCAGTTACTACTGAGATAGGAAACTGTTGGATGATTTTACCTGATAGTTTTGGGGCTGGTTACCTATTTGATAGGCAAATGGAAGGTCGGGGTATGTTAATGGGACTTAATGGTGGATACTTGGGGTTATATAAATGCATATATATATATGTATATATATATACGTGTATACATGTATGTTTAGATATGATGTTAATGGGAAAGTCATGTATACTCTATATGTCATGGGTGATGTGAATATCATGGAAACTTTAACGAGCAAAAAATCATGTTGGGAATGTCATGGATACTTAGGATATGGTGAGATCTGATATACCAGGTTTACAATCCCTGCTCCAATTTCCACTGTGCCTCATACAAACTTTACATTTGAATAATCTATAGGGTCTATTTATGGGTTTGTGCTCTTCATTTTGTAGTGAAAAGTTAGGCACATTATTTTTTAAAGCTCAGCGGTTGGGTGTTTGAACCTCCTTTGAATTTCGAACAGGCATTTGGTAGCAAAAGACATGGCCTGGCAACCTGTTGAAACCCAATGTCATTTTGTAGCAAGGCATGGGCTTTCAGCGGCCACCCCTTCAAGCTTTGGATGCTCCCCCTTCAAGTAGCCTTACCAGGTAACCAATCATCATTTTGTAGTGGTAACACACGCCAATTTCTGATTGGTTTGTAGATGAGGTGTGGAACTGCCTACAAAGTGGGGGTCCCGATCCCATAGACGAAATTCAAAGGGGGTTGCGCCAGTTAAGGGCGATGCAACTACATGGTTTTAATATGTTTTAATCTGGCGCTGATAAAGATAAACCGCCCTCCGGTGTCTTCAAACGTGGTAAGCCGGGAAAACCCTGAACTAAAAAATGTTGATAGCTGCGAGGGTCATCCATTATCGATTTTCCATTGCAAGTTTTGATTCCCAGAGGCTAACTCCAAAAAGTGTCGGGCTTGCGGTAGGTATCTCGAACTTGTCAATGTGGTATAATACATCTGGTTGTTGCTTTCAATTTGTTGATGGGCATGCAACCACACATAACATGGCAATTGGACATCCCCAAAGTAGTTAACGGTGGTCATAAACCAACGACCAACTTATGTTGTGTTTTTTTTGGCGGGGGGATGTATTTAATTTATGGGGACTACAGTGGTTTGTTTTTTTAAATTTAGTGGGACAATAGTGGCTAATTAATGGATCATCTAGCTGGTTGGTTCTGGGAAAGATGAAACGACGAGGCATGTAAGAAAGAACCACAAATGTTTAACATGACTTAACCATGTAAAGGGTTGATATATAGTTAGTATTTTGCATTGTTTGTAATGATGATTTGATTGGTGCTAGCCGTTTTTTTTGTTCGAGCGTCTTTGGGAAGATGATCCCATGACAAGAGGTTCTTCAGGCAGTTCGGCCAACTTGAGGCCAAGGAGCTACTATTAGTAAGAGTTTCCCAACCACATGATATTTCGCCATGACTGAGCGATGGCTTGATCGTGGTTTATCATGGTTTATCATGGGAAAAATCACGGTACGTCACCGGTTCAAACAATGAATCTCACCTTCCGGGGATTACGACGATTTCCACCCACCCAGGTTTATCAGACTTGATGCCTGAGACTGAGAAGATCTGGGAACCACATTTGCAGTCTGTCCCTGCACCGAAGTCCAACTTTCATAGTGATTTTCAAATGGCCAGGCGGTTGCTCGAAGATCATTTGCCCCGTATCCGCAATGAACTTGAAGTGCGCCACAAGAAGCTACCCGCACCAAAGTGCGAAGGTGCATTCTGTGAACAGATCTTATTCAAAAAAATCGATACCTTTGCCAGCAATGTTTCATCGTCAACTTGCATCTTGCCACAGCTGTGTCGCACCCTGCAAGAGGTAGAAACACAGCACGGACTCCACGTGTTGGCATCCTCCATGGTCGAAGCACATGATCCAACGGCACCAGTCACGCAGTTTCCAGGGCGCCTTCGACTTTGGTGTGCAATGATGCACTTCTTGGATTCCTGCTTCTGGCTGGATGAAGGGGTCTCCTTGAAAATCAGTTCCTCCAGCTCACCACAATTTTTTGTGGTGGATTTTCGCGACCCAACTTACGAAGAAACCGATCTGGACGGAGACACTTTCCACAGCCTGCTATGGTTGCAAAGTCTCCTCACGCGCCTTGGTGATGCTTCAAGCTCTACTGGTCTTTTGGAAGCGAAGCCAGCCAGATTTCAGGTGCGGGAAAGTTGGGGAATGAAAGAGATGTATATGTATGCACCTTATGTATCCAGCTTCAAAGGTTCCACTGGTGATTCCAAGCGAACAAGACTGACTTTCATTTGTGAAGCAGCGTGAAGTCTGTGAAGCATCGGACGGTTTCGGCCTTGGAAAAGAAGGGATACGATTGGGATGGGCACTGGGATGTGTTACTGCTTGATCACCCTTTGGGTAAACCAACCTCGCATGGAAAAGCCCGTTGATGGGTGAAGCGCCTGAAAAGAAAAGAATTGATGTAGTTGTTTACCATTACAAAGCCATACAAACCCTACTTCAATCGGATCTCGCCATGTTGGACTACTGGAGACTATAGGTACTGTATGTAGCCGTCCATGACCTATTTGACGCTGATCGCAAGGTTAGAACTTTGAATAAATATATAACTGGTTGAGAGAGGCCAGTTACTTGCAGCTAGGAGCAATGCACACTTTTGAGCTACCTGGAAGCCCAAACAACCGTTCTATTCATTTCGTATGTACGGATTGTTCACGGTGGTTGCTTGGGGGTTTCCCACCATTTGTTTCTGAACGTTTTGAGTTTCCAAAAGCATCTTAGGCCTGGGACCGTGTTATATCTTGCCCATACGTAAATGGGTCGTGTGAAAGATTGATGCATTTACCCCAATTTGATGCTGTTGTTTGATACTGGTACGATTTTTTCTTTTTTGTTAAATTTGGTTGACTATTTTGCAATTTCGTTTTTCCCGCCTTGGCGACTGAACATAGGATGGTCAATGCATGTCAATGCTATGGGATGCTATGGGCATGTGCGCGTCCATTGAAACCCCAGGTGCCAGACATATCCTCGATGTTTATTGAGAAACCCCAACCTGTGCCGCTCTATCCACATGTATTTCAGCTTTTCGTACACACACATACATCATCATACAACATAATTATACATAATATAATATATATATACACCCTTTTATACTTCTCAATGTTTGGTCATTAGATCTTAACCAGTAGATTTATCACACATCAATGAGTGTTGGATTTAGGGTTTCATATTGTCTTTTTCTTTCAACCATAGTTGCCCAAAAACATAGGGAGTTACGAACACCAATCAGATCAGATGTACTAAAATCCGCATGTTTCATGCTTGTCACTTCTGGGCTGCCGTCACTCTCAAGACGCAACCTGCCAACAGCGTTTTCCACGGCGTTCGGTGCGTGTGCCACTGGGGGATCGGGATGGCTGCTTTTTTCGCCCCGCTTTCAAGGGAAAATCGCGGAACATCAGGAAGTTCTTGGCAAACGGTGGAAAAGACATGATAAACTGATAATCCATTGATTATACATCCATTGACTGTCCATTGATATCCATTGATATACTAATATAATCAATAATCATGAATTATAATTTTTAATTATCAATGGATAAAACATGATAAAACTAATGGTTTCATTGTAGGTTGATTGGGAAACAAACAACAAACCTGCCGAGATCTGCCGAACTCAGGCTGAGACATGCCTTTTTTTGTTTCAAACGAGGCTTTCACCAACGAAAAGTCGGCATAGTAATGGAAGTTAGAGTGGCCTCGCTGGCCAACCTCATGACTCATGGATGTTGATGATGATGATGATGATGAGCATGGGAAATCATGAATAAATCATCCTGAAGATGCCTAATGTGGGAAGCAACTACCATTTGGGGATGGTTTATACCGCCCATAAAAATGGTGATTTGGGGGCGGTTTCTTATTGGGTTTACCACAAGGATTTTTTAGGTGCACAACATGTTCTGAAGAACACATGTCTACCAGATTCGCCGATGTTGCCTCTCGGTCAAATGAGTGTTTAGCCCACAAGAAATGTTATGCACCAGTGAATATGAATGAAAAGAGAGTTTCACAGATCCAAGTGCTCGGGTTAAGTCGTATCAGCTTCTAAAAGTCGTATCGGGAGGCCGTGCGCCTGGAAAAAGTTCAAGTTTGGCATCACCACAACTTTTAGTAATTGAACGATTTCATTGTTTTGGGGCCGTGCGCCTGGAAAAAGTTTATTTTTTTTGGTATTGCATTGATTTTTAAAACTTATATGTGATCATTCTTTCAAGGGGGCAAACGCTGGTTGCTGCTTGCTTGCTGCTGCTTGCCTGCTGCTTGCCTGCTTGCTTGCCGCTGCTTGCCCGCTGCTTGCCCGCTGCTTGCCGGCTGCTTGCTGCTTGCTTGCTGCTGCTTGCCTGCTGCTTGCCTGCTTGCTTGCCTGCTTGCTTGCCCGCTGCTTGCCCGCTGCTTGCCTGCTGCTTGCCTGCCCGCTGCTGCTGCTGCTGCTGCTGCTGTTGCTGCTTGCCTCTGCTGCTGCTTGCTGCTGCTGCTTGCTGCTGCTGCTTCTTGCCTGCTTTTTGCCTGCTTCTTGCCTGCTGCTGCTTGCCTGCTGCTGCTTGCCTGCTGCTGCTTGCTTGCCTGCTTGCTTGCTGCTTGCCTGCTGCTGCTGCTGCTCCTGCTGCTGCTGCTGCTTGCTGCTGCTGCTTGCCTCCTGCTGCTGCTGCTGCTGCTGCCTCCTGCTGCTTCCTTCGTACCATGACAAGTCATGAAATATTTGGGATCCAGTTCTAGGAATATTATCATTATTTCAGGGTATTTGGCTCGTTTGCGCATGTTGTTCCTCGCTAAAAAACGTACACCGAGGCAACCTTGGCTAGTACCATTGGGAAACCCGCCCAGTTCGTTCAATGATGCTGTTTGAATAAGTCCCATTGTATGGTGTTGTTTAATCATAATCCTACAAAATACTGTATCATATCTATCTATCTAACTATCTATCTAACTATCTATCTATCTATTCTAATCTAGTCTAATCTAATCTATATCTAATCTAATCTATATCTAATCTAATCTAAATCTAATCTAACTCTAATCTAATCTAATCTAACCTACTCTAGTCTAATCTATCTAATCTATCTAGTCTATATCTATATAATGGATCTATATCTATCTGTATCTATCTATCAATATCTATCTAATCTATCTATCTATCTACCTACCTATCTATCTATTTATCTATCTATCTATCTACCGATCTATCTGTCTATCTACCTATCTATCTATCTATCTTATCTAATCGAATCTAATCTAATCTAATCTAATCTATCTATCTATCTACCTACCCCCCTACACCCGCAGTTATAGGTATATTTACCATACATCGAAGCGTTAGGCGGCTAGTTGTTCCCATCTTATCAAACATAAATCAACACTAAAATCAGCTAGAAATCTTAGCTGAGTCGCCAGCGGGTGGGCCCTCTCGAGGCGGCCATGATTTTGCAGCTGTGCTTGGTGGCTTCAGCGGCTTCAGCCCTTGCCAGCTCTGAGAACTGCGATGCAGGCAGCATAAAGATTAAACTGAAAGAAACCCTGGAATCTCAATGGGTCAAGCATTCATCACATGTTCTCTCGCTTGGATTCTAATGATTTCAATGGCATTGACGTCATCATAGGTGCTGGCGTACATTTACCGATCACTTGGGGCTGCACCACGCATTGTCAATGGGCCAACAAAAACCGAGTTACAGATTCATGGAATATCCCCAGAAATGTGGGCTATATATGGATTATAAACCACGGATACGATCCAATGGGGGCCACTTCTCTGGCACTTGTCACTTGGTACCTCCACCCCTGGCAGCTTTCTACAGAGAAAGGTCAAAGCACCGAGGGTTTGTGGGTCAATTAACATAGACTCTGCCAGATAGCGGATGGAAGATTAGTTTTCACTAAGACTAAAAATTGAAGATTTTCGGGGTCTATGTTTATTTACCAGAGGGTAGTATGTATAATATTATAGACATATATTTTTATATATATTTATTATATATATATATGTATTCGTTGCCAATCCCTACTTCAAAAATTGAAAACCCCAATGCTGGTGGTTTTTCACCCCCTTTTCTATAAGAAAAAGACTTGTGAGCAAATTCAAATTCAATTTGTCGTTCGACAAGAGATAAGGGTTTATGTTTGTTTACAACCCATTTTCTGGGACTTGAAAAAATGTAATGATATGTAATGTTGATGTTTATAGACTAAAATAAAATGTACATAATGCTTTTATGGTTTCCATATGTTTTTCTATATTCCCCATGTTCGTAGGTCAAAGCACCCATGCTGGCCGAAGACCGATCTTCCTTTTTTTGGGGTGGGCTGGTAAAATGGCAAAACAGACAGTGATGTTTACTCGCCAACTCCCAGCTTCTGCTGGCTAAAGCCCAATTTGTTTTGGTCAGAGTCAACTCCGAATGTTGATGGATCAAACAAATCCTAGATTTATGGTCAAAGATCCCAGAGTTGCTGGTCAAAGTTTATATTTTGTGTGTTAAAGTCCCAGCTTTAGTCTTCTTGGTTTTAGCAACCATTCCAGTTTGTCAAATCACCCATTTGTTCATAATTAAATTGGGATTTTGTTAGTTGATTTCCATAGTATCATAGTGACTTTATCATCGTAAGAATCAACTGACAATATTGATGTGCATAATCATCATTTACACACTTTGTTTGTTATTTAACTTGCCCTAGTATACCACAGTTAGATATAGTTAGTAGGGTTTCTCCATCACTCCCGTCTCACCGACTCCCATAGTTATATAGTAGAGTCACAAAACTACCACAGTTCCCACTCCTCATCAGCTACCACTATATAACCTAGTAGTGGTAACTGTGGTATTAACCTCCTATATAGCAGTATAACCTAGTATAACCTTCTATAGTATCACCATGCCATAGCAGTTACCTCATTTTTTCTGTCAACAACCCGCTTCCGCCAGGTGCCAGCTGCGCCGCGTCCATGGACGCAACCAGCGAGGGGCCATCCATGGCGCTGCTGCAGACGGCGAACCAGCGGAGCCTCGGCAGCAACACGGTGCCCACGGGTTGAAACAGGGAATTTATAAAACTTTAGAGTTGATCAACTTTATTATATAAGATGTTTTTTAAAATCTACGAATTCAATAACAGATTTTGTACATATTATTTGAGCTTGGATTAGATGTTAGCTGGTTTATAAATCCAACAGTTGGGTTTACGGCACATGTGTCATGTCGAACTAGTTGGTGGGTCTCAACTGGAGGGCACAACTTTTTGTGAAAAGCTTGAAGGGTAGTTTAATGTTCCAAATGGATTGATTGGAGGTTTGCAATGTTTTTTAAAAAATATATTCATGATGATTTGACTGAATATATTTGATGGCTTGATATGTGTTTTTATTTGATAGTTTTACTGGTGATCTTCAATAAATTCTTTGGTACGTGTTTGTGTTGACTGGATATATTGAATGGTCTAAAGTGTTTTTGAAGGTTTGACTTAACATGTTTGTTTTGATGGATTGTTTTGTTGCTGGCTTAGCTTGACTGCAAACGTGTGGCATCTTCATTGCGTGATGTACCCAGCCGTTGAAGTCCGAGGCTAAATGCTTCGCGGGTGCGGGGCCTGGCGGGGCCCAGATCTGTGCAACGCAGCGAATTCAATGGGATACTTTTTATGTTTACAATTTGACCAAGAACTCCAAGAAATCATAAGAAATCTGAATCAGTCAAGAGCATTTACCAACCATTTGCCCATCTACCAATGATCCAAGCGCACGACCTTTCCATGGCGGACCCAGGCCAATGTGAGCAAGCCGAATGTAGCGGCAATCGAGTCATCCAAGGAGTCCAAGGCTTCCAAGCTGTTGGATGTGGGCTTCAGGAGGCGAAGATGGGAAACAACAATCCTGGTATATATAACATTGGAAATCTATATGTAGATATGGTATATACATTGTATATACATATTTACATATGTATTTAACTATTTATATGTATTATGTAGAACTGTGTGACTAACACTGGTATTAAAGCTGGGAATCTTGGATGTATGGGGGAACATCTAGTTCACATCCTGGTTGCACACTGTTCGGCATCTTTGGGGGTTGCGATAATGGTATAACGGTATGACCAGCAATGGCATGGTTCTTTTGAAGCTGGAAATGGGTGACAGTTTTATGAGTGTATAACGGGATATCTGGGATATACTGATATAACCTATCATTTAGTTAATTATCGTGATATGATATGATGATGACGGAGAACCAACAAGATATCTGGGTGCGTTGCTCAAAATGAGAAGAGTTCCCAAGAATGGCAGGGGGAAATAATGATTCACCGATAGATGTTGGAGATGTGCCGTGGCGCCGTGGTCCAGTGGGATGACCTCAACCCGATCTTGAATTGATGATGTTTGGATTGCGATGGTTGAAGATTTACAGCACTCCCTGATATCTTATGGTAAATTCCATGGTTTCCTGATTCCTGTAGATTTCCCCTTGAAACCAACCCAACCAGTTGTGCCATTGCGGCCGCCAAAGCCACAGTGAGCTGACACTGCCCACGCTTGCAGGCCTGCGTGCCTCTTGTCTTGTGGATGGTCTTTGCGCAATAAATATGGGAATCACGAAATCCAAAACTGTTTTCGTAGCTGGCATGTGACTTCACAATGCTTCATAGATCTTTGGGTGCGGGTTAAGTTTTGCTTCAAAAATGGGGATTGTATGACGGAACAACATACAAGGAGCTATTCAGCCAACAAAATTATGATGAAAATAGTTCGCTTGGCACCTCCCAACCATTCTTCCATTCATAAAACATGTGGATGTGGAGACTAGCAAGGGGCGGCACCAGCAGGGAAATGGGAAAACAAGAACCTCAAATCACCCCAAAACACATTTAGATTCAGATTGACAAAACATGGAATCTCCAGCAGATTGTCCCACTTGGAACATGAGATCCTTATTCAAAGCAACGCTTTTCTGGTGTTTCATGTGATGATCAAAGCTTTGGTCAATTTGTGGTGTCCTTTTCTCGTTGGCATTTGTTGGCTGATTTTTCGGAAGGGGGAAGTCAGTACCAAGTCTTAACACCCCATGGGCAATATGGTGCATCTCGTGTACCAAACCTATTTGTTGCATTCATTTGTAACACACATTCATCACACGTCGCTTGACTCAAAGGTCTCCCTCTATCAGCATACTGATGGCCCAGCGTCAACAGGACCCACCGATTTCCAAGAGTTGGTTCAATGCAAGCTTTTTGATTGGACAGGAATTGCTCAAATGTCAATGGGAAAAAGTTAAGCTTTGTCTGGGAAAAAAACAATGCAGTGAGTCTGCACCTGAGGTTCTCACTTCTTATACAGCATGTGTTAGTTTGCCCACCCAAATTCACATGGTAAACCCAATCAAAACGATATATTTCAATTTGCACGAACCAGGTTAATGAATTGGTTTGCCACATTTATCACATTTTATCACCCAGCTTTTGTGCATTGCGGATCTTCCCCGCCCTTGCTCCTAGGAAACTCACGGGCGGCACATGCCTCATCAGTGGCATTTGCGACGACAGCCGAAGTGCAGAATGCGACAGGACCCAAGGCTCCTTTACCTACGGCCAATGCGTTCCCTGGCGCAATTCTTGAAGGAGCGTATGGATGTGACAATGGGTATACCGCCCATTGTATGGCTATGTTGTTTGGGAAAATGATGACTACACACATACGTAGATATATATATATATACATATTATAATATATATATATACCTGGATCTTCAAACGATCACTTTTTTCCGGGCATATTGGGTGAAAGCCGAAACACCCAGGATATTTGGGCAATTAGGCCGTATACCCCGTAATGCCCAGAAAAATTGGGCATTTCAGTTGTGCCAGCTCTGTCATACTAAGGTTGGTTCAAATTCAGCCGGCTCATTGAGATCATAAGCTCATGGCAGTTCATCGCATGAGATTCAAAGATAATCCTAGCATAAGGTGATGGATCACATCAATTTAGGAAATAATTGTTCTCACCAAGCACACAAACCTTCAGGGATGTTTAACTATTGATTCTGGAAGCCATGGGCAGTGGCGCGATCAACACTACAGAGGCTGGGAATCTGGGGGATCGAAAGTCAAATCTTGAAGACAAGTGCAGTAGGCATCCTGTTAGTTTTTTGTTTGACAAAATGTTGCAGCCAACCATTTATCAAATGACTGGCCTGTAGCATCATTTTGGCTCTGTTCAATAGCCTCCCTATAGCAATGTCCAAGTTGGCTGGGGTTGGCAAGCTATGGTGGCAAAACCCATCCATCCAATCCCGTTTGAACCAGTTTGGTGGCATTGATGGTTTGGTGACCAAGCGGGAGGGTTTGGCCCTTGCTGCGAAAGACCGGTGGCATTGCCTCATCAACAGAGATATCTTAGAACCCGTTTTTGCTGCGATGTTCAATGACCGTCTTATCAAGACACCCAGCATGGAACCCATTACTGTGCAAGTCCACGTGCTGGATTTGCTTTGGCAAAACTCGAAAACGAAGGGGGGGAAGATTCCAATTGATGAGACCGACCTCCCACCAATCCCAGAGGAAAAGGAGCTGACGTACCATCTAGCAGTGGCGTCAATTAAGGGGCTGGTTCTCTTTGTGAGGAAGCACCGTCTCCGACCACACGTTCCACGGGACACGGGGTGGAAAAAAAATGGTGAGCATGTTAAAGCCAGTTTCAATAAAAACACATTCCTTCTTTATCTTGAGCCCAGGGTTCTTGTCTTAATGTGCACGGTCATGTGATGGTTCTTTTGGGGGAATAGTGTTACTAGAATACAGGGTTCATAAGACAATATAAACAAGGGTTTATACAGTACTATTCTTCAAACACCCTCCAGTTCCGCAGGATGATGACTTCAAGGAGCTCCTAGATCTCTTCGGCGACTTGGACTCTTTTCCGCATTGAGACTGCCATCAGTGATTACAAGGTTGAAGGTAACACGTAGCTAGCTTGCCAAGGAGTTGAACATAAACTCACAGAAACTTCTCAAGTAATCCCTTATTCTTGAAAACCTGTAGACTGTAATATGCACATACCATCCACTCATATCCTTTCACTATCTTCCCTTGGCTTCCATGGCCCGCATCAGGAACTCTACACTGATCTTCCAGATGTGCAGCAAGCTCCTGGCATGGGTGGCGATGACATGCATGAGAAGGCTGCTACTGATGAATCTTTGGCTCGGGTTCGTGCTATCCCGGTTCCATCCCCTAGCACTGCCCCCAAAATGGAAAACGATGCTCATGTGGCTTCCCATGTTGATGGTGATCCTTTGGAACAGGAAGACTTGTTTGGTTTGAAAAAAAAAATCGCAGCTGCCAAAGCTGAGCTAGCTGAAGAACTTTCTGGCCAAACAACACCCCCTGTTGCCCCGGATGCTACAGTGAATGACTTGCACATGGAGGACCCTGACGTAAAAGAGGCTAATATCCTTACGCGCATGGCGGAACTCGAGAGGAAAATGTCATGCACAGAGTTGCTTATCTAATGCTGTGGTATTTATGATATTTCATGGTTTCAACATGTTGCGACCTATTCACTATTGATTTCTTAAACATAGAATAGGGGATATTGTAGGTCATTCCCGTCCTGTCAACTCAGGTTTCCAGCCGAGGCAGCCACAGAATTTGATGAGACGCTGCCATATGAACCCGGGGGCATCACCGAGACCCTAGCTTTCAAACAAGCTATGGAGGAAAAGTGGACCCCCCCAAACCCAGAGGAGAATGACACTGGCAACATTCCAGTTTCTTGAGATCAATTAAGGTCAGCAGTTCTATCCAATAATATTCACACATATTCACAGCTATTCAAAGTATTGCAGTGGCCTGCCATGACTGATTTTAAATATGTATTTATCCCTTCGTCATTTTGACAAACAAACTGATCGATCTTGAGCCCCGAGGTTTTGAAACGCACGGAGCAGATTCAGTTGAGAGGAGACAAGAAGGACAAGAACAAGAAAGGCAAAGGAAAAGGCAACAGAAAAGGACAAGGTAAGAAGAAGGCAGGAAAAGGTAAGGGATCCACCAAGGCATTGACACGCAACCCACCTGAGGAATGTGAAGGACATGAGGAAGAGGCAAGGGAGGATGACGATGAGTTAGGTGATGAACATGACATGGGACAAGAGGAGAAGGACAAGAAGGTTGAGGCAAAGGTGGAGGCTGACGAACCAGGTGATGATGAGCCAACTGCCAAGACCCCTGGCAAGAACCGAGGTGCAGGAAGGAAGCCCAAGCGTTCTGGGAAAGGAAAGGCAAAGGCAAAGGTGAAGAAAACTAGGAGGTGCAAGAAACAAAAGCGCACAGCAGCCGGCAGCCCCAATGATGCAAATGATGATGCATTGCCTGATGCAGATGAAATGCAAGAAGAGGAGCATGAGGAAGCCATTCCCAGCACTAGGAAAAAGCCCCGAGCCGCACGAAAACGACCCCAGCCTGAAGAGGATAATGTGGATGAGGCAGGTTGATGCTTGCAATGTATGGTTGTTTACTTATACTCTTCCTGATGGCTTCAGTTTTTGTACTTGCCAAAAAATCACATCTACACATGTCACCATGGCAGGCCACTGCAACCAAGAAGAAGCGGGCTGTGGAAGAACAGACCGCAGACTTACGGAGTTATGTCAAGCAGCTCAATTCCCAGTTTGATGGTCAATACAAAGTGATGGTGTATTGGAGCCGTCATGCTGTGTCCTTTTCGATCTGGGATGACAACAAGAAAGGATGGAAGCAGGCTAGGGGTTTTAGAGACCAGAAAAATCATTTAATCATCAAAAAACAACAAAAATAGGCAAATGATGGCAAATTACACCAACGACAAACGGTTAGCCTTGATCTACTAAGGGCCAGATGATGCTTAATGGGGCCGACGAGGATGAAGCTATGGAGCAATTTGACCGCTACAAGCCAGTTCTTCGTGGTCAAGATTCTTCTTTGAGATCTGAGCTTGATGACTGGATTGAAAGTGGCATCCAGGAACATGAGAATGATGAACATGATGAGGATGAAAATGAATCGTAGATCATTCCAACACCATCTCTAATACGTTGGTGCTCTTTTCGTATCTGAAGCATGCAAAGCGCATGCTCTTTTGTGGGGTTGGCATCGCGCGCCAGTAGCCCAACTACCCAGGGTACATGCTGAACATAGCTGCCAGACTGTCAATTTTTTTTGGTGACAAAGGCTTCTTCATTAAACATTTGCTTGGAGAATTTGGTGGTTGCCTGGCGACAATATGCTGAGATCAAACGTGGGGTCCAGTGGCAATTGAAACATTGCGCATCACTGGAAAGATTTGCGTTGGCCTGAACGGAAACAAAATACGGTCCACCTTGGTATACAAGAAATATCTTGACAGTTTTGCCAGAAATACGTGTGCTCTTGTAATCTTTAATGGCATATGGATTTTTATATGATTTATATGCATATCTTTAGAAGCTATATTTTCTTGTGGTCACCCATTCCCCATTACATACATCAGACACATCCGGCACCAGAAGCGCGGGAGGTCCTGACATGCGCTTCCACTGCCATCTACGAAGGACTCAGCATCCGAAATGTGTCAGTTGGGATTTTGATGGGCATGGGTATAATATTGAGGACCAAGCAAGAGCATTCCATGCAAGGGTCAAATCCCAAACCAGGTAAATATTCAATCAACACTTTACCTCTGATTCTGCAGGAAATCTTCAGTGCTGGCCATTTTCTGCGGGGAATGCCTTTGGCCGGATCCAAGTGGGCGGCAAAGCGGGGTCTTGTCCAGGAAGGTGAACCAGGCTTGTTTGAAGTCCAATAATCGAGAATGACAGTTGATGAGTACAACCAAACTATTTCTTTCTGAACCCAGTGCTGTCATGACCATATCAAAACTGCAGTGGCCGCATGCAGCATTTTTTTTCTAAACTTGGGGGCCCACGCCATCGAGTAGTAAGCTGTAGTTGCCATGCCTCGTCGGATGTGGGACGAGACAAGCCAAGATGATTTGGTTTACGCTATGTGGGTGAAGGGCCTGCCCAAGGCCCGACATGTTCAAATACCATGTTGAATTTCAGCGATTTCAGGTCATGGCAATTCTACTGACTCCAGCGTTTCAATTTCATGTGTTTACATGTGCCCCCCATTTTTTGCGCAATGAAAGTCGCAGGCATGGATCCTATTGGTGTTATTGTCCTTATGGAGCCTGCCACAATGGGAAGACCGTGGCGTTCCTTCCTTACCGCGTGCACAATACAAGAGATTTCAATTTCTTCCAATAATTCGGTCTTTGCTTCTTATCCCTGTCAATATTTGTAATTTTTTGGGCCCTTATGTCTGTTGGGATTGAGGCTTTTCAGTTTGTGGAGTTCTTTGCTGGCAGCCTAATGGCAACTCAGTGTGTGGCTGGGGCAGGCTACAGAGCCACTTGTATCGACATCGATGATCATGCCAAAGCTGGGTATGCAATCGGTGAAGGGACCGTCTTCGATATATTGTCACCTTCTGGCCTAGTGTTTCCTTACTGCAGTATGATTGACTGAACCTTAGCTCCACACGTCCATGGTCAGTTGAACAATTACATGCAACTACCATTTAGAAGTGACTGTTTATCTTAGGCTGGCTATCCAAGCAATTCTTCAGACGGACGATGATGGGTTTACAGTTTTGCTAGCAATTCTGTGTTCTACGTGGTCATCCGTGTCTCGAGGGAGTACATTTAGATCGTATCTATGTCCTCTTGGAGATGAAACACGCCAATGCGTATCTCAAGGGAATGTTATGGTGGCAAGGTCAGCTATGTGTCCATATTGCACCATGCACACAACAAATGCACACCTCAACCTTTTGGTCACCTCAGCCCTGAAGGTGCTGTTTTCTGGCAGCCCTCATCGAATGCCTAGGGGGCAAATTTATATTTGAACAGCCACGTGGTTCTCTCGTCTACCGGCATCCCAGATTTCGGTGGTTGACGAATATTTGCAAAGTTTTTTGATTGCATTTGAATGACCAATCACTTTCAAGTTGCCTTGTCCCACAACTTGCAAACCTGAACTTAACTTGCATGGCTGAATTTCAGTAGTTGAGGTTTACCGGAGCTGCTGGTGGATGAGACTTTACAAGTCTCCTTCACCCAAACGGCATGTGGCCTATGCAAACACTACATGGGTAGAGAGGTTTAATCTTGGAAGGTTGATTGGATGGAAGCCCTACATGAACCCAGACCACCAAACCACTGTGCATTGGGTTGATCCTGTTACGGGAAAGAAGAAGTGGCATGGATCTCGCCACCTCAAAAAAACTCAGTGCAACCCTCATTTACTACATGTTTCAATGGCTTTTGCATGCATTGTGCTCCCAGTCCAAGACAACGTGCCTCACCCTCCATCCGGCCAAGGTGCTACCCTCTGAGGTTTGGTAAAAAGATCCTTGAGTTGCTTCCACGCCTGCTGGAAGAGTGCCGAGCTCTACCCGAAGTTGGTGTGAGCGGGAAATTGGCATTTATAAACATCAATTACGATGACAAGTGCAATGATGCCGACCTAAGGTCCAGCATACTATATGTAAGGAGGTCTCGTACGTTGAAAATCCCCAGTGACTGGCGACCATTCTTGCCAGAGTACTTTTAACTCTTTCGTGCCCGGAAGCACCATAAAGCAGCAAGTTTCCCACAGAAGGATCCCGTTAAGTTCAGGAATTATCGACTGTTTAATGGTTTTAAACGTTTTTGGAAACGCCCAGAAAAACCAGACCAAATATGGCCATATATGGCCATATTTGGGTTGATGCCCAAACCCGAAACCGTAATGAAACCAAATTTTTCAACATTTTATTGAAAAAAAACGTAATTATTTATTGAAAAAAAAACAAATATGGCCGTAATTTTGGGGTTCGGCATGGAAACGGAAATGGTGCTTCCTTACCAATTCAAATTGCGGACGGTCCACACAAGACCAGGCCTGTGTGTTTTCTGCAGTTGGAAATGACTTGCTTGTTCTGTTTGTATCTGACTCAATGCCTTTGTTAACAAAAAGTTGGTTCCAGAGCTATTTTTCCATCCCATGTTAGGTCATTATCTGGCAGCCATTTTTTGCCTAGCTGGGTCACGTACTTCATCATGTCTCAGCCCATGGTGTCCCGTTCTTGGAGTGGTGGTTCCCTTATTTCTGGGCAACAGCACCTTATGGATGTAGAGCAAACGGGTTTGAACATGAAAAAGAAGATGGAGATTGAGTTCCAGGAGGGGCCCCATTTGAAATTTTATGATGCCTACATTTGTCGCAAAACAATTTCTACAAGCTTTGACCAGAGCTAAACAGAAAGAACCCTTGAATCCCTGCTGCATGCCGCAGGAACTTCAAGCTCAATTGGCACAAGTGAGGGCTTCAAAGGGCCAGAGGGCAGTCAGCCAGGCCGACGTATCAGTATCAGAGCTATGAAAACTTTGCCATTATTGCCAATTTCAGACAAGTTACAGATCGAACTTTGTAGCTTAGTTGGTCTTGAAGGCTCATATCTTATACCTGAAAGAAACAGTCGCCATCAATTCTATCTTGAAACCCCGTTCTAGGCAGCCAGAGCTCCTTCGGCTAAAGTTCCTGAGCCTTTGCAGGACCCTGTGCTTGATGGCACTTGACACCACAAAACGGTTGGTATCTCAACTTCAAATATAACTTAAATCATCAAACATAAACTTTTAACTTATCACTTAAAAGTCACTATTCCCCAATGAAAAATCAAGTGCTCCATGGCCCAGTAGAACCATTGCTTCCCCCCTTCTCATGCAGGATGAGGCCTCTGGAGTGCCCAGCAGTGCAACACCGTCACCCTCAGAGGACGAGACATCGAAACGTGAGTCTGAGCTGGTTCTTGTCTTAGTGGGCTTAGGTTTCAAATTTGTTTGTTATAAGTTCTGCCAGTCCCATGCTTTACCAAACACATATGAAATCCTATTGTTCTTAGGTTCGGAACAGAAAGTTGGTCTTGCTCGCAGAGATAGCTGAGCTTGAGAAGTTGGAGCTAAGAAAGCAAGAACTTTTGATGGGAAAACCTGTTCGTGCTGTGGCTACCCCAAGTCCTAGAGTACCTGCACCATCTCCCGCTACCTCAACCTCAAGCACTCCACAGCCGGAACCCACTCCACCGACTGAGAGTCCCAGTGATGAAGAGGAAATTGGGAATTTGGTTGAATGGGGTGGCATTTTAAGACATAATGAGTTGATATCACATAAAACCTCACATTGTTGATGGCATGATTTTATGTGATGTAATTTCCCATAACCTATATGGATCCAACTGTTGAGGCTGGCAAGGAAAAGGTCACCCTCGACGACAAGGGGCGGGTTCTCATCAATGGCAAGGTTGCCAGTGATTCGGCCATTGAACAGCGCCTCAGGCGGTACTGTTCTAAGCGAAAGAATGGTACCTTGAAATGTGCCCAAGATGTGTACGATCGATTTCATAACAAGGGTGCAGAAGCCCGAACCGAATTGCTTCAGATTTGGAAAGATTCATGCCTCAACAAGGAGAGAATGATGGCTTCAAATTTCTTTCAGACTTATAGAAAGTATCATTAATGATGTGTGTTTCCGATGCTATGACTAAAGACTAAAGCCAAACCCTGCCCCATTCACTTTACCAGGAGGAACTGTCCAAACGAGTGACGAAGAAGATCAGCGAGGAGACCGGGAAAACTCTGAAGATACAATGTGGCTGGTACACCGAACGCCAAATGCGAGACATGTTGAAGATGCCTAAGCCAGAAACTCATTATAAGATCTCTATCCTGATTGAACACAATACTATTGGAAAAAATGTTGCATGTCAAAATGTAGGAATGATTTTTGTATGCTTAGGTTCGAGATTGACTCCGTTGTGGACTACACCTCAACTCGCCCCAAGTTGCGGAGGACAAATTATGAACGATTTTTCCAACATTCAAAACTCAATCAGTTCTTGACCATGCTCTGTTTTTTGAATGACATTCCAAACAGCAGGAAGTGGAAATACAATACCAAAATCGAGCAGCACTATGTTGAAGTTGATGAAACCGGCGAGCTGAATAAGACTTACAAGCAGAGCAAGGAAGAAGAAGAAACCACCGTCTCTGACCAGCCAGTTCAATTCCAGGAAATGTCCCTTGACGAACCTCCCGCCCTTGACGATCCCAAGGCCGAAACTGTTGGCAAGGGACAGCAGCAAGGAACCGTTCCACCTGTGGCTGACCGAGAAGTTCAGGCAAGGCGGCAAGAAGGGCTTTGGGGGTTAAAACATTCATATGGAGAAAAGAAAACCATCGTTATTATAATTTAATTATGATAGATTATATATGTTTAATGCATATGCAGTAATTATGCATTAGTATTTCTATGAACCATTGTTGAATGATACTTCCTCAAATCCCCGAAATTCATATCCCAACCTTGACCCACAAGGAACCGATCGTCTTGCTGACGAAATCTATGGAAGCTTTGCTGGCAAAATCTGCCAAATTGCAATCGGTGGCCAGTACTCTCAATGGAGAGGAAGATGAAAGGCAGGATTTTTTTTGGGCCCACTTCTTCTCCGAACTGCATGCTTGGAATTATAAAGAGTGTCAACCTGAAGTCAGTTCTTACTGAATCGACCATTTTGCCCAGTCTGGCGTCTACTTTGAAAAGCGTCTATGAGCAAATGGATGATCACTACGATACCTTGGCCAAAACATTGGCCCGGTTGAAGAATGTGAAAGAACCCTCAGAAACGCTTTCCAGCTCAAAATAATCAATCACATTGCACCTGGCCCATTCCTACATCATCCTACATCCCTTTTTCATAATAACCAAGGCTGCAGCAGAATATCAACGCGCAATTGGAATATGCTGAGGTTTTGAATCTTGACACCAGCTGACTCTGATTTTCACACATGTATCTTTATAATGTCTCAGTGTTAGATTATGTTCCCAGATTTATTTGGGACCAACCTAAGGGGAAGCAAAGCAACCAGAGCGGAAGTTCATGCCCAGCAGGAACCTCAACTGTGTATTCCCAAAACACAAAAAAAAACATTACCATTTTTTTGTCCCACCTGAGGCCCGCCTTGAAGCGTGAGAGAGCCAAGCGCAAGGCGGAAGGAACTCCTGACGCAGATTCCAATGGCCGTCCCAAGCCGAAGGCCAAGGGGAAGGCCAAGAATACTCCGGCCGCAAAGGCCAAAAAGTAGATCTTAGATATCTTAGCTTTTGCCTAGGGGATGCAATTCTGAAATGAGTTGCGATGAGTTCATGGCTGAGACAGTTGGTCTATAGGGGTTAACCAACTCAATGTTGGTTTTTCGTGGACTATGTGGGGCGACCCTCACATGGATTTGCTGTGCGCAAGGCTTTGAGAGAAAATGGTATTTTGCACCTGCCTGGTCCCAGTCAACTCTGGCCCATCCCACAGGACCAGCCACAATGCCAGCTTGCCGGAAAAAGCCATCCATCACATGGCCTCAGTCACGCCAGGTCGAGTTGGCCCTCTTGCTCAACATGCAGCATCTTGCATTGCTGCTGGGGTCTTGGGCTCAGCACCTACCATATGATTTGTTATTGATATGTTATTTTGAAAGGGGTGGAAACTTGAAATAATATGTTCACGATGTTGGCTTATACAATCTTATACATCTTTACAGAGTAACTAGGGGGGGTCCTTGACCGATAGGTATCTGGGAAACCCTGCTGGTTCAAGTATAAGCTTTCCAATTTTATTTGATCATTATTCATATGTGTTGCTTCCCAATAGTTCACCCCCTGGAAGGTTTGGGAAGGGGCTACGTTGTTGTATAGTTAAACGTAAACTGACCATATCCAGGGCATTGACCACCAAGGGTCCAAATTTAAATCTTTTATTCAATAAGGATGGTTCAACATGTGTGCCAAGGCCACTGCTACTGCAGTAGTCGAGATGAGCAAGGCTGCTGTGAGTCACTTCGGGACGACATCATGCCCAGTTACTACCCAGCTAGCAAACACCAATCCAAACAGAGCTGAAGACCAATGTCATAAATTGCCACTTGCCAAAACAAACAGGGTTAGTCAATGCTTTGGGAAAATGCTTTGGCAATTGTGAGGCGCTTGCGTTTTATTTTAAATTTTACCGTTGCTCAGTTCAAATCAAATCGCGACTAAGGTTTCGAAAGCACAATCTATCCTTGGACATTCCCGTCTCCTGGATTCCTATGCCTGGCGTGCTCAAAGATGGCAAAACAAAAGATTTCCCAGTTTTGCAGGTTACTGACACAATTGACTTTTTGATTAAGAACGACAACATGGGAAGATTGGCTGGAGGACCTCACATCAACATGACTGATATCCAAGGGACCCTTTTGGAATTTTGGCGTCGTTTTTCCAAAACAAATGCTGACCACCAAGTTTTTGCTGCTTGTGAAAATGGCGAGCTGTCACTGTCAAGAACTATACCAATTCAGATCCACGGTGATGAAGGTCGTGGGTTCAAACGTCAAGGAATCATGATGCTATCGATTCAAGGCGCCATAGGTCGTGGACAAAAACCTTTCCTCAAGAAGCATGTGCTCCCTACAGCACGGAACAAGCGCATGGGTCTCAACATAGGGGGCTCTTCTTTCAACAGCCGGTTTCTCTTTGCAAGCATGCCAAAGAAATGGTACAACACCAATCCCGTTTTTTGGCGATCAATTTTCTTTTGAACCTGTTGAATTTTCCACTATTTGTTTCCTCCTAGAAACTTTAAACAATGTTTTCCTCATGGTTTCATAGCGGAACAAGCTTCAGGAAAATTACCTCGCTTTGCTGGAGCACCTGACTGAAAACCTGTTGGAACTCCAGCGTGGCTTCGTGTACAACAATGACAAGTGGCATTTGGTTTGCATCGGGTTTAAAGGTGATTTTCCTTTCCAGATCAAGACAGGTGGTCTCAACAGGCATTGGCTGCGCGCTGCTCGAAAAAAAAATGCCAGTTCTGGAGCTGGTGTTTGTTGGCTATGTATGGGTGGTAATGACGCAGGTGGGCCATGGGAAGACTTCAATGTAAATGCTAGATGGTCTACAGTTCAACCACAGGAACCATGGGCATCTCGTCCTACTCTCTTGAGGCTTTTTCACAATGTCTCGGAGCCGGAAGCATTCTTTCGCCCTGACATTTGGCATTGCTACCATGGGGGTGCAGGCAAACTGTTTGTAGCTTCAGCCCTTGCGGAAGCACTGGCTCTGTTTGACGGTTCTATGGACAACAGGGTTGAACAAATGGCTGAAGCTTTGCGTACTTGGGCTAAGAAACCTGGAAACCAATTACCACATTCAGGTCAATTTTGCAAGGAAAGGATACAATTGACTTCTTACCAAGTACTTCCTGATGCGTCATGGTCAAAGTTCAATGACACTTATGTATACCATCGTTTTTTGGAGTGGCTTCTGATGGAAAATCTGGAACAGGTATCCGACAATGAGACATTGAAAACTATTTTGGATGCTACGCGGTGCATAAATCGGAGCTTCAAAATCCTTTATCAAAGTGGCTTGTTTCTCACAAGTGCAGAAGCCTTGGAAGCTGGGCAGTTGGGCCGAACATTTCTACGTTTGTATGTTCACCTGGCTTACTCATTCTATGAGAAAAAACAGTTGAGGTTCCCATTGGTGGTCAAGCATCATTTGCTAGACCACATTTATCGCCGTTTGATTGCTGGGTCCAAAACTGAGTACTCGTTAAATTGTCTTCTGGACAGTGTACAAATGGACGAAGACTTCATAGGTCACTGCGCGAGACTTTCTAGACGCGTCAGTCCTGTGACTACAGCCTTGCGGGTCCTACAACGTTACTGTGTCCGTGCAAAAAAAACATGGACAAAAGATGTCAAAGACATATCGACTTCCAAAGAACCCTAAGTTCCAGGCTCTGTGAAAACAGGTGCCGCTCCGCTCAGAGATCTTGTCGCTTTTGAGACAAAATGCCAGCTGGCAAACATGCGGGCGAGATGCTTGCGATATTCAGTGTTCTTTCAGCGATCTATATCAATTGGATCATCTTGTTCAAATTGATCCATTCCAATCTGATTTAGTACTGGATCTGCAATTGGCCTAAATTTTAGATAACCATCTATTACCCCCAAGCCGTAATGCCCAGAAAAAGTGGGCAAACCCAAACGATCAAAAAATTTCGGGCAATTGTAGTTCAAGGTATATATATATATATGTGCATACACGCATATAACTATAACTTATTTATTGGATTTAGACATAGCCGGGGTACCTCACTTTCAGACATACCCATGCAAGGGGATGAACCAGAAAGTGGGGGGTGGTGTCGCCTGCACAAACTAGGTGTGATTCAAAGTAGACGGTGACATAACCCATGATAAGGATATGTTTTCCTGATACCTGGCAACAGGCTGCAGAAAACGGGTCATGGGCTGGTAGGACCCAAGCTACAAACAGAACCTCTGGGACGATGCCTATTCAATTCCTTGCGGCAAGCACAAGAGCCATAGAGAGGTGGCCCCAAGGAAGTTTGATGCGCACTCTAGGTGGAAGCCGGAAAGAGAAGCAGAAGAGAAGAGGAGAAGAGGAAGAAGGGGAGACGAAGACAGAGCCGTAAAACGGAAGCAGCTTGTGTAGCAAGTGCTTGCAGTAGCAACCTATTGACCGTATACCAAATTAGTACCGCCCCCAGCAATGCAGCAAAGTAGCGCCAGGTACTATGTATGAGCCTCCGGCTTGACAGCAGACCGCTGCATGGAAGGGGACAGCACGCTAGGTGGAAGCCGGAGAGAGAAGCGTAAGACAAGAGAAGGAAGAAGAAGAAGGAGAAGAAGACGAATGAAAAGAAGAAGAAGCAGAAGAAAAAGAAGAAGAGACGAAGACAGAGCAAAGAAGCTTGGGTAACAAGTGCTTACTTTAACAACCTATTGACCGCATACAAAATCAGCACCGGTCGATCAGTTTAGTACTATGTTGTAAGTCCAGCGGCTAGTACCGGCAGACGTTTGCAGTGCTGTAGACAGTTTCGCTAGCTACCAACACTACCGGCTAAGTACTGGGAAAGAAGGTAGTAGGAGCAGGAGCAGGAGTGGACACGATTCAGACGAAGCAAAAATGGTCAAAAACGCGTAGCAAAAGAACAAAGGAACAAGTAGACGCCAAGAATAGAAACAGGAACAACACCTTCAGACACGCCGGCAGGCCGGCGGATTCATGTTTTTCTCATTACATGTTGGTAGCTGAGGTTTGAAGCATGATATCCCCGCTACACTGGGTCAACACCCAGTTCCGAACCACTACTGACTTAAAACGGTGGTGAAACTTCCAGGATCAGGCTGTTTGGTGATGGAAGGGTGGTTGCAGAATCATGGTTCGGACACGGTAACTAAAGCAAAGGTTCATTTCCATGGTGAAAACGATTAAATTCCATTGGAAGGGAGAGTACCACTCTTTTCGGACAATTGATCATTTTACGCAAACACTTGTGTACCAGAATAGGTTAAAAAAATAATGTCGGTAAAGCAATAAAAAACATAATAAACCATCCCCAAAATCATAAATTGGGTGGTATCAGCCGTCAAAATATGGGCGCTTAAGTTTATGGCATTGGTTATTAGCCCAAAGTTTACTAACCTTTCCTCAGAATATGGATGGTTTATGGCTATTAACATTACCCCAAAGTTGGATTGTCAATCAGGATTTCCCCTATTGAAGTTGCACTCGTTCATTGACCGAGGTCTGTCCGCAATTCACCTGCGCTTCTGAAGGCCGCAAACCTGGCCATGGCAGGTAGAAGCGGAAGGTCACTAATGGTTACTGGTTTGAACTGGTTGCAACCCGAAAAACATCGAAAAGTCAAAACTTTCCAAACCCATCTAGAAATAGTAGATAATTAGTCGTTACTTACGATTATTCTTCTACCTTTTTGGGGGGTCTGATTCCTGACGACTGACTTGCATGTCTATTTGTTATATGGCGTTTTATCATGGTAGGCACATTTGGGAGTTTGATCCTTTCGTACGTTCATATATCCGCAACCAATACCGCTGCATCGCCATGACTGTTGGCTATTGGTTGTAATGTGTCATTTGTCGAGTCATTTGTCCACGATGATTATATTGATTTATACTGGCTATATGATATATGGTTATAGCATCAGTTTTGATTTCAGCATGTCAAATCACCATTTTTTTCCTGCTCATCCAGATGTGGAACTCTAGAAAAATTATTGCCTTACAAGACTTCCGGTCTTTCCAGCTGTTTGAACCTCTGTGTCTCTGTGTTTCTTTTGGTCGGGCACACCCATCTTCCGAGATCAGTAGATTGCGTCCCACATCACATCGTCTTTTGTTCCTAAAGCCGTGCAGTATGATTTTTCAAGGGAAATTGACTCAGTTTACCGTAGTAGTGACAATCTCCCACCAGCCCAGTGGTGACCTGAGTCAATGAAACCTTCATGGTGGACCCATATGAGTTAGGACATGGGAAATGCTCAGCCAATGGGACTATGCCCAGAAATATTCCACTTGTAGAGCTTTATCCCACTGGTATAAATTCAAATCCCAGCTAGTAACCCCCAGCTATGGTATCCCAGTTGGTTGTATTGAAATATAATGAAATATATCACTTGTATGCATGACACATTCTCCTACTTAGACAGGCTATGCAGCTAGTCAACTAGTCATAGTGACTGGGTCATATTCCTTTCTAACCGGTTTAATATGTGACCCACTTATGCATCGCACTTACCCTCTTCCTTAATCAAACATAGCAATGGAATTTGCCCAAACTTAATGGAGGTTCAGTTCGTTGGGAAAACCATCGAAGCGAATGGTGGATTTCCAGCAAGCCAGGTGTGATTAGTTCAAACTATAGCAACACCCAAACAGGTTCTAAAGTCAACATCCTATCAAATCCTAATTGTATATCCAGATGGTAAGTTGCAATCATTATCAACCATTATTAGTAGCCCTTATTATTGAATTATAAATAGTTAGATTACCACATGTTTTTTGGTTTAACCATTATTGACCTTATTCATCGTGATTAATCCCCGTTGTTTTGCTTAAATCACCATTTACTAAGCAGTTCACCTGTCGTCGAGTCGTCCAGGCAAGTGCAGCTGGTCCGCGGCAGAGATCCGCGATGCCGTGGGCAGCGGGGCCGACAACGTAGTGGAGAAGGTGGATCTCCTATCTCGAACTGGTGAAACAATATATGCTATGATTCAATACCCCCAAAATCAACATAAACAGGTGGTATAAATTTACCATTCCCAGTCATGGGTGGTTTATGACATTGTTTTACCCACATGATATGGCTAACAATTCTTGAAATGGTTAATACTATATATGATGAATTACCATGAACTAGTACACGATACTATGATCTAATGTTAGTGAAACAACATATGTCCCTTCAAAAATTCCATGTAAGGCACAACAAAGACAGGAAATTCCCCTACAGAAATTCCATTCAACTGGGAATTTCACTTGCAGTATTTGTTGGTTCCGCAGATTTCCCCATGTTTTTTTAGGCAATGGTTCAGCGAACCAGCGAAGCATCGCAGGTTACCTCGACCGCAGCCAATATCCCGGGCTTAGCGGATACCGCGGGCGCGATCCAAGGAGTTTGGAACACCCTGGGCCGCACGGCCACGGTTTGCGGCAGCGGTGGAGTTGTGAGTTGTTCGTTTCTCAAAATGGGACGTACCCCAAAACCATTGGAAGAAAGGGGTGGTTTTGGCAACCCCATGATATAAATAAATGAAAGTTGGCTGGTGAGTCGGACGGGTTCTAGATCTTTGCTGATCTTTGTATCATAACATTCTGGGTGGCAAATCTGGTCCAAATTGGGCGTGGGGATCATGTGGGGTACCATAGGGTACCATGATGTCCCCCAATGTCTGAATGATCTGATATGGTATCATTATATATCATTCATGTTGATACCATTCATATCATTCATCGACTGAGATAGGGTAGCGTATAGCCACAGCCACTAAAATACATTTGGACGCCAGTCACTGGATTTATACCGGGTATTTCCACTACTCAGGATGAAATACCTGATAACTTGTGCTCAATCCCCCCCAAACAAAGTAGGTAAACGATTCCCAGGGCAGTTGAGTATTGAAACCTAGTGAATTTGCAGCACTGTCCAACTTAAGGCACATGTTCTTGATAGGCCTTCCAAAGCACTTTTTAAACAGTTTTGGGACGTAAAAGCCCGTACTGTAAATTCCCGTAAAACCCATAGGTTGGGCTTAAATTTTCTCAGAAATCCTACGTTTACCCGGGATTTCTGAAACGTAAAAATCATAAATGTGAAAATCCACAATCCCCATGAAAAAAAATGTAAAAAAGGGGGATTTGACCGTCGCTAAGGTGGCGTGGTCGGGTCCATTTTGGGCGCCAACGGAGGTCGTCTGGGAAAAACATGGGGAGATGACCTGACAGTGCCTATGATTTGTTTTTTAATGGGGGTATAATCCAAAAAATTTGGGGCTACAGTTATGGCCCTTAAGCCTTAACAGTTATATTTTATAGGTCTATAATGATATATAACCTCAGTTTTAGGAGTTATAATTCCATTTATAACTGTTCACGGCCATCACTGTACAACCTACTGTATGTGAGATTTTGGTGATGAATCTTCATTTGCCAACTATTTTGGTGTTCAGCAAGGTACCAGGATTTTGAGTGCTTTAGAACCATAGTCATTTGGCTGCCCAAGCTTTAAACAATCCCTCGAATAGTATACAGAACCCGGTCAATGATTCAGACTTGACACGTTGATTCACTTTCTGCTGCTGGTATTCGCGGTGACTGTTTTTTCTTTGATGCCGTCAACCCAATAATAAACCGTATTTGCTTTTCAGGGACGTCAAGCCACCCAAATTACTAAATCATAAAGCTAGGCATCAGGCGTACCACAGGACCGCCACCCTACAAATCAGAAACATTCAGAACCACCCTGAATGGACCCAAATGAATAGATCTGGGCCCTGGGTTTCTTGGGGGACGTGTTTTATAAAAATGGGGGAAGGAATTCTTCGGGGTTGACCTTGCCCTGATTGAACGTTGGAAAACCAACTGGACGGGGTAGGTGTTCACCAGCTATTCTTTTTCCAGGGTAATATATTCATCGATAATGTGGTAAATGGTAAAGCCAATTATAAACCGTCCCCCAAATCACTGTCTTTATGGGTTGTATATGTAAACATTGTAAACCATTCCCAGATGGTAGGTAAAAATCTGATGATGGATACAGAGGAATTATGGTTGATGCGCTTGAACATCCGGAATTGTCGCAATCCATCAGTGGATATGAATCGTTTTGACAAAACCAGAATTGTAAGTTTGAGCAGCATGCATAATTCACCCTACACTCCCTATCAAGCCCATTTGGCAAGTCCGGTGTGTATATCACTTCTAGGCATGTTTTCTCCACATGTTTTAAGTGCGAAAGTTAAAACTTGAGGTCAAAACCATAGGCTCCCTAGGTCTAGTTCCAACCTGTTATATAAATAGCCCTTTTTCAGGTGATTGCCACCACTTTTTGCTCAGGTTGTTCGGGTTATGTGGGCCTCTGCTGGGGGCAATGCTCCAACCAGCAGCAGTTGGGCTACACCGCGTCGTGTCAGTGGGGCTCCTGTCAATGCAAGGCAGGCTTCTGCGCAAACAATGGCGCCCTAGCAGGAAATATTTGAAGCTGGTGGGCAAAAGTTGTTTGTGGATGGCTGGGGGGGTAGCCAACGGATTCGGGATATGAATGGTATATGTATCAGTCAACATGGGATTTTTGAAGTGCGTGAAACTCTCTGAATGGTAGGTGGCACATGGGTTTATAACCGCAACAGACGGGAAATTTCCTCCCCAGGCAACAGTGGATAGGCAGTGATTGGACTTGTAACTGGGTACCTGGAATCATGCCAGTAGTTATGCGGTAAACCTGAGTTATGTACTCTATTAATTCTCTATTATCCAACCAGTTGGGGGTCGTTTTACATCATCCCAAATAAGGGTATACCGTATACCCAAGAAAATAAGAGTAAAAACATCTGGGGGGTGGTGCTTGCTGAGGTATTTGTCAGATGGACCTGCCACTTGGTTTGGCACCGGGATATGACTTACAACCCTGGGGAACTGATGGGTTACTCTAGATGGTTGAAAATTGGGCAGCTGTTGGATCTGATAATTGCAAGGGGTTATAGCATGGTTCTCATTGGTTTTAAGTTTCCCGTTTTCCCAGTTGCGAAAACTATTCGCTAGTTTCAGATGTTTCAGAGACTGCATTTCCACCAAGGTCAGGAATGTTAAAGGGCGCCGCAGGCAATGCCTTGCGCTGAAGAAGCAAGCGTTTTCTGTGCTCGGGAAATTATAAGTCAGCCTGCCTTTGTGTGGCGTGGATTTCTGCAGGTTCTTCTTTCATGTGGACAAATCATCGAACCAGTCAACTGTGGATTTGGAGCACAAAATTGTGCGCGGGGGAAGCCTTTTTTCCAAGCATTCAATTACTCAATGGGGCAAGTACGTAGGGATGTATTTGCAAGATGGCGTTCTGTGGCCATTTTGCATGTCAATCCCATCTACGAAAACGAAAAACCTTGGCCCTCAACATGTTCAGAGTCGACTGGCTGTTCCAGGATGCTTTTAAGCAACAGCATCACTTCAAGAGAGCAAGAAATGATGGGAACCGCTTTTCAAGCTTCTGGCCGTTGTCAACAGTTGGGAAGCCGCAATAGCCAGACGCAACTGCTTCACGAAGAAGTAAAGCAAATGAGGCAGTGCAAAAATAGCTAAATTGAAATTACGAGTGTGACATGAACATAAGATATGTATAGAATATGTGCATGTACAATGTAAGAAAGGTTGCCTGGTTTTTGCAACGGAATATTTTATCATGTAAACTTCGAGCAACTCATGGCACTTAATATGTCCCCAAGCAGTGTGGATGTTCAGTGTGGATGAATGAATAATCTACAAAAATAAATATAACAAATCAACAAAATGAAACCAATTCAAATTATTAGTATGTTTTTGATATTTTTTGATATTGTGGGTTAGTTGCCGTAGCTTTCAACTTAAGAAAGGTCTCCCCCTTAGCTACCTGTATCGCTATGCGCCATGGCTGCAGAATCAGCACCGTTGCAGGTGGAGTTGGATGGTCCGTCATGATGGTCATAGCCATGGTTACCCGTAACGGTTACAGTACCCTTTGGCAATAGCACATGCGACATTTCGTTAGTAAAGCAATGTCATAAACCATCCATAACATGTTTATACCATTGATTAAAACGGTGATTTTGTGGATGGTTTACTAGTGTTTTAACCGCATTGTTTGAATGGGCAATTCTAAGAGAAATACGAATTAATGGGAAAATATATGGCAATGATCTTTTTAAATGAGTTATATATGGATGATTTCCAACGTCAAGTTGAATTTCTTGAAATAACATGACCGACCTCAAGATACGGTGCATGAATTATAGCTTTAAGATTGTTTGAGCAACAGCAATCAGCAAACCTTTTTAGGGTTTAAGTAACCACTATGATCCAACATTTGCATTTACTGGCCATGGGTATGGAGCAACCACTATGTTCCAACTGTGCATATAATATACTGACCACTAGGAAAATGTTGTCCTCGCTCAATTGGGAGGCAAGGAGCATCAAGGAACCCATTTCTCTTGCAAGATTGATGAGTAATACCCGAAGATGTGGGAACGATTCTAGTTTGTTATTTATGCAAATTTACACTATGACTATGCCAAAAATATGAGGGGAAATTGATGAACCAAGGTAAAAGTACAGCATGCTTTAAGCTTTAAGCCACCATGAATGGAGGAGCTGAAACTCCATAAATGGGAATTCAACCGAGAAATATGTATAGAGATATGGGGGCAAAAATATATGGTTGGTTTCATTTGAAAGAGTTTGTTCATATTCCATCCCTACAAATGGGATGATGATCCACAGTTTTAACCTGAGACAGCGATGAAGGGAGAAGGAGATACTCGCAATTAACTCATGGTTTCGACGGACTTCAAACCGCACGGCCAATCATATATGTTTGATGAACATGTCGCTTCAGCGCCCGATTTTGAGTATTGCCTAACACTGTAATCATCCACTTTCTAGCTACGCCATTCTTGACGAATATCTTCAATGTCAACCCTGATTGTATAATTAACAAGACCTGTTTGAATAATCAGGCAGTGTACCCGCCAAAAAATTGCTATACTCTGCCGCTAAGATGATACCCCCCCATTTGCTCAACAGCCTAGGTTGAAACCAACTCTGGGGTTGACGTGATAGTCATTATATGTTTCTATATAAGCCCCCGTAACTATACAGATCTATTTTCCATAAACTCTCTAGCTATCTACCATTCCAGTAGCTATGGGCACCACATGTACCACTTTTAACGCCATCCAATACTGTACAGTAACTATGTTAAACTAACTAACTTGACCCACCATAAAACTCCACAAACTGAGTTTAGTGAAATTAACTTGATTGATTGCTTATATCCCCATGTTCCCCAAATGTTGATGCTTAAATCCGTATGTCTACCATATTTTGTTGGTTAAAATCGCTATGTTCACCATATGTTGATGGTTAAACCCCTATGTTTATACCATATGTTGATGTTTTAACGCCTTATTTTTATCATATTCTGATGCTTGAATCCCTATATATATATATAGCGTAAATATATTTCTATATCTCTTGACGTTTACCATACTTCCCATCCCCCATTTCGCCCCCGGCCTCGCCCCGTGCCGCCAGCTGCCGCTCCCGCCTGGCGACCCGCCGACCTCGGAGCAACTTACGGCGCAAAGTGAGGTGCGAAGCGGCGAATCTAGAGGAATATGTTCTATATAACTCGATATGTTCACATATATATATATATATATTATACACTATAAATATGTATAAATATATGCATATCTATATATATATATGTTCAACATATACATATGTATATATCATATTGTATAATTATATGTGTTTTAAACATCTATAAATAATCAGAACCAGTACAACGGCATGGAATAGGGTTATTTCATGTTATTTCTCATATGGATTCCCAGTGGGAAATCCACCATCTAAGCAACTCCCACTTGACACTTGCAGTTTCCTCACGGTCCCTCATGTTCTGCAACAGAAGCACATTGTTTACATCAACATATTGAAGTAGGCATTCTAAATCCAAAGGACGATGTTTTTTCTCCCATGTGTTTTCCAAATAAATTTGCATGTAATCATGTATATATATTATTATTTGATTGCGAATGGGTCTACATGAAGTCACATTGGGAACCACAAATGATTGCCCTTTTCTATTGGGCCATTGGGCCATCCATTTTCTTTGGGACCAGTTTTGATTGGCCCTGCGCCGCCAAGAATGGCATCATTTTAACAGTGCAGTCACCGGGGATCTTCGGGGTGCAGCTCCATCACCCCAAGTGCCACAGGCGGGCAGATCTCGTGGGACGCTCTATGGCTATGACAGTTCAACGACCCGGGCGCCCTTTGCATACGGTCCCCTGGTGGAAAAGTCCGTACTGAAACCGGAGACCACGGCTTTACCATCGGCTCTACCATCACCATGAAGATTTTTCAAACAGTTAGGGGATGCGGGTGCTTACTGTGAATTGTTCCCTGTAAAGCAATGGTAATCAATGCTGGAATGGATATGGTCCTGTACGTTAGTTCACTTACTTTTGTTAGTTTTCCATTTTTTCAGGCACCAAAAAAAAGTGTAACAGATTGCACGCAGTTTTATCATTTTCTCCCTTCCTCCTCCCTTCACTGGAGAAAGACAACATGCTGCAAGGTTTCCGCTGATGGACATGGATTTTCAGCAGAGCTTCAAATCTTTGGAGCTTTGTGAATTAATATGTTACCCTCCAGTAAACTAGCATAGCATAGCTATGGACAATCACCATGTTTAATAGGGAAATCATCTATAAATGGCTGGCCCATTTTTACCTAGGCTATATTAAATTACCGGAGGGTATATCTTAACCAACAACAAGTTGAGGTTCAACCGAGAAAAATTGGGCTTCATGGGGAAATGCTGAATTATAACCTCCTCACTGCGACGGGTCGACGTCATGATGATTAGGATTGGGTTGTAACTTTCCCAAAATAGCGGGACATTTCAGGTTAGTGAATGATTTTTTGTTTTTCTCCAAGACACATGAAAGCATGCCATTTGTTTTGGTTTGATTTGGAGAGAAGAATGCTGTCCTCCCTCACGCAGAGTTGCCACAGGGACCAGCGGAGTTTTTGTAGGGAACCCATTTGCCTTCACAACCACTCGAAGATACTCCAACCTGTGGCCCCCCAGGCCTAATTCGTCTGGAACCTCAGGACGCAGCAGACGCGTTGGACGGATGACGAATCTGATTCATGATGATCCATTCCAGCAAGGGTGAGGTTTTGATCAACAAATTCAATCAAATTCGAGGATTTGTAGGGAAACAACGTAGGAATTTCACCAGCAGAAACGGAAATTTAATCAGCATGCCAGTGCGCGCACCTGATACACTGGGATGCTGGAACTAGACTGTTGTTTGAACTTGATGAGCATCGCTCAACATAAAGAAAAGGCCCAACCATGGATTGGCTGTTCATGTTTATATAGTAGCTTAGCCAATAGATAAATAGATATCCAGCTAGATATCTTGGTTTAATGTGTCCATAGGGGATGATGATCCTGAAATGATGGGGATCTACCACATGTGGCTACTACGATCAAAGGCGAGGCATGGAAGCTCGGACGTTTGGTTGACATGGGGATGTTGCTAGTTTTTGAGCTATTTGGAGCTGATAGAAGATCATGTATTGTATTCGCATGTATTTGCCCTGTATCCGGGGGGTTATTTCATCGGTGGTGCAAGAACTGAACACAACTCGGCCAGTTAGTGCCCAGGTTTTTGCGTCTCACCCAATGGCCCAAAGGACCATCAGCAATATATTGAATGGGTGAATGGGTGATTGATTTTTTGTTGCCCTGACCATGTTTGGCCTAAAGTGGAGGTACTGTGCAATATGAGGCTATGTGAAACTATGTTGGTGATGATCCTTTTCGCTCTGTTTAGACATGAAGACATCACTGATCTACGGGCCCAGGTGGGGAAAGCAACGAGTTGCACTTCTTCGTGCGAGCGTTGGGCGTCCCGGGGATGTATACAGTATATCGTAACTATACATATTCATTTATCATCTATCATGAATCGTTCTTGGAAGCAAAGCATCAATCAGCGAATACTGTATCACTTCACTGGATGGGGGTGTCCTTGAGGCACTTGGAGCGTGGAGTGATTGCTGAACTCCTGCCAGTAGGGGCTCCTTTGGAATTCTTTTCGCAGAAGGCGAGAGAGTTGCAGGGAACCGGGGAACCACTGGTCATTGGAAGGTATATAAAAATATCATGAAATCCACGAGATTGGTGCCGATTGGGTGCCGAAAACAACGGGAATGTACGGTAATTAGATTCGTAGATAAATAAGCGAATGAGTGAGTAACAATGGTTCATAATATTGCTCATAGATAACTTTGAACAGTGAACAAATGGTACTTATTATCTTTGAATAACAGAAGTAGGACCTAGGAATAGTAATTATTCTTAACCATTCACATATTGGTCATTGTTTGGTCATTATTATGAATTAGTAATAATGAATAATGAATTAATAATATTGATTCATAATGATTTATTAAATAATCATTAAGAATAATTACAATATTAGTGAGATATGCTATGAATATATGGTGATACTATTTAAGATTAGACGTATTGTATTATCATTCATATTGGCGATACTAATTACCATATATATGAGTGTGTGTGAAATGAGGGGTGGCAAACCCAACAGGCACCTGCAGCAGAAAAAAATATTCACACGACCTTTCAGATGAAGACATGTTTGTCCAACCAAGTTTGATGTACCCTCTGGTAATTATTAGTAACCATAGTTCAAACCATAGTTTAAACAGAGTTAAATCATGTTAAATCTCCATAAATTATATCGAATCTAGCTGGTTTGATATACCCTCCGGTAATTTAACGTAGCTATGGCATGGTATGGCTAAAATCACAATTTGTAAGGGCGGCAAATAATCATAAATCATGGAACAAAATGGATTTATATAAACGGGCCATGGCTTCCAGTTCGCAGACTGATAAGCAGCGGGTAGTTTAATTCAAGTCCCTTCGACCCGCTTCGAAGTGGCAACTCGCTGCAGTTCGAACCTGGAGATGTGCGTTGGGCCTATGGCATTCGAAAAGTCCCCAGCAAGGCACAAGAGCAGCGAGAGTAGCAGTTGGGGAAAGTTGAGCAAATCTCCAAAACACCGAGACGGTCGCAGGAATTTTGTTTGATACCCTCTGGTAACCAAACGTGGCAATGGAAAAAGTCCAGAACTAAATGGAGTTTTAATGGGACATCATCTATAAAAGGTATATGTTCGATTGCCATCTTTGGTTACCTCAGGCAACTATTTGATTGATGATATTTTATTAAACAAAAGATGAAGAAAGTTGTTGCGATAAATGATTCAAGTGTCGATTTTTCATTATGCACGGTGGACGTGCTGCACAAAACATTCATGGTACGGTGATTCTCCCCGTCCTTCCATGGAAAGGGTGAACACAAGAAATGAGAGAACAACGTTTGATTTAAAGGGGACCATTAACGAAAGTTCAATGGTTTGAAAACCTTCAGGCACTATATCGGAGAAAAGGCTGAGTTGATGCCTATTCACATGTTATTTATATAATATATACCACCGTTATTTTCCACCCTGGATCACCCGTGCAGCTCCTGCCGTCTCTTTTCGAGGGCAGCCTCGGAAGCCGCTGGCCGAAACGAAGAAGCCGGAGCCCAAAGAGGTGCTGGATGAAGGATGGATTCAACCACTGAAATCGGAGGTTGATCCATGTTGATTCAAACTATTTTCAGGAGAACCAGGTCAAACAACATGATGCAAATGAGGGGTCATGTGAGATCACGATAGCCTGGCCTGTTCGCATAGGTTCGTGGTTTCAGCATGTTTCAGGCCGTTTTTCGACCTCCATCCCTTTTGGGCGGAGCTAGGAGTTGAGTTTCGCAACCACATCCCCAACGGACATCGGTAGTTTCATGCTTGAGTTTGTGATTCGACATGAGCCCTAAGAGATCCTCATAGCTTCGAGATGATAGCAGTATGTTACAGTAAGAAATGTTTCAAGAGAGTCTTGTGGTAATTTAATGTTGTTTTTGAATTCTAACAATGTATGCGACACACAACTATATTGCTGCATACTGTAATGCCTAGTTTCCAAGAATAGACCATTCTTTCGCTCAGTGATGGAACATTGTAAAAAAAACCAATGATATATATAGTAAGAAAATCCCAATGGCTCACTTGAAACCCTGAGTTGATTGTAAATTATCGCCAGCCGCTACTGTAGTGACCATAGTGGGTAAAAACATATTTGACATCAATGGGGTCTGCACTATCATCACGTCGTGACGTCACTGGAATGATGGGAATTGGATTCGTGGAATCACTTCCAGGCCGCAAATTAATTTCATCTTCAGGTGAGTGATTTAGATCCAAATTCAGCCAGAATAGATATGATATCATCCATTAAATCCCATTTTATTCACATTAAATCCCATGATATCCCATTAGATCCCATTGTATCATTTTATATTCCAGAGAAAACCCAATTATTTTGATGTGAATCTCACTTTTATATACTTGTATAATTTTCAAGGATCACCCCCGCGTCTCCATGACTTTCGCAGGGCCCTGCAACGACGCTGGGTGTCTCTGGCAGATGGCGTCTCGGAAGAGGTCGAGGTGCGCCATGGTGCGCCCTTCGCCATGGATGCGATGCCAATCATCCCCAGATGGAAAAAGATGGAAAAAACCAGGTTCTAACTGCGAAAAATTGGGGTTTAATCATCAATAGGGGCGGTTCCATGCCCCAAAACCATGGATTTCAATAGTAATTTTGGACGATTTGGGGGGACCCCTTTTTTAGGAAACCTCCATATGGGGATGTATGAAACCCATCTTGCTATATTCGGCATGAGGATCTATTTACCAGCTATAACTTAGGGTTCACTAGGGTACCAATATGTACCATTGTTTTGACTCATACCCATGTGGCATGAAAGTGATGGTGATTCTAAGCATCAAATATTATCATAGATTGATGGTTATAACGGCTTAACCGTTGCATACCATCGAAACATGGGGTGTGACCATCAAAAATAGTGGTGTAGAATGCTTTATGCATCCTGAACTGTGGATCTGCAAGATGAAATGCCTGTAATGCTTGGGAACCGAAAAAGAATAGATCCACGACTTCATCAGGGTTGTGGATTTTCTCTTTTCAAGTTCATGGAGAACAAATACATGTATATCACCAGTAACTTCATTTAGTTTCAATATCCTGCCATTTGTTTCTTCTTACAGGAAGTACCCTCTGGTAAAGTAACATAGCCATGGAAATCGCCATGGTTCCATAAGTAAATCATCGAACTAAATTGGCCATCTGTACGATTGTTCACATGGGGGTAAATTCCCATTTAATCCCATAAAAAAAACAATCAAACTCCATTTGTTGCTATCTAACCACCATTGTTCCCACTAGGACCTCTTTAACAGGTCGATGACGGCGGTGGAAACGCGGCATCGCAGGCCGTGGAGGCAGATGCCGGTGCGAAGGTATAGTGGAAAACGCTCGTAATGGGGATAGACCATATGTAACTTCGGATATATCCAGGATATTCCAGGATATGTCACTTTAGGTGAATATGAAGGGAAAATAAACTGTAGATATAAGAGATATCTACAATTTTCAATCAGTAAAATGATTGATGCGATATATCATGTTGAATGGGATAATGGTATGATTAATGGGTCATGTATAACTCCAAAATGGGGATGATCCAGCCAGTATCACTTGGGATATTCCATGTTATTGGAATGAGTACGCTTGTAATCAGCATGATGTTTGGGTTGCTACGGTTGGTACCCACTGAAAATTACAGTACCACCCCAATTCCCATGGTGCCGCGTCTTCCATGAACAAAGTGCATCTTTTGGCCAATGGTCAACAATGGCTCTGGGAGGGTGGATGGTTGGTGTTTCACCACCATGTTTTTCACACTGAAAAGATGGGAGGATGATCCTGACTTCAGAAGGGTTGCTATCGCTCAAGCCCGCCAAGTCATTATGAACGCTCTTTCTGGTGACTGTCAGCCCGGTCCATATGGCAGTGAATTTGAAATTTTATATGTTGGCAGACACAACTCCAAAAACTGTTGTATGTATATCGTCAGTAAACATTGATGACGGACGGGTTGGCCAAAAGATTTGTTAAACGAATTTAAAAAACAATACACATATATATATATACATACACGTATAAATAATAGCCGCTATATGTTGCACTGCATTGGCGCAGAGTAATGTCAACATCGTATTCATAAACCCCCCAAAAAAAAATGGGGAAAGGGGGAAACTGGGACAAGACAGGTTGGAGGTCAGGTGGGAGGCTGTTATGTTTTTGTTCAATGTTGTAAATCTAAATGTTTGACTGTTTCTTTTTGATAATTTTGCTAAATGTTTCGTTGAGGTTGTCGTGATAATGTTTGGTTTGGATGAGGGTAGGTTTTGTTGAGGGTGTTTTGCGTGTTCTGGTTTCTATGTTTTTGTTCAACGTTGTAATTCTAAATGTTTGACTGCTATGTTTTTGTTTTGTCGCTAAATGTTTTGTTGAGGTTGTTGGGATAATGTTTGGTTCAGATGAGGGGGATTGGTTGACAGGGTTTTATGTTGCGCGACGCCATTCTTGATTCATCCACTTCAATGACTTCTTCATTTAGGTGTCCGGTTGCCCAGATTTTCAGATGAATTGGCAAGCTCTGCATTTCTCAGCATGCCTATGCCTTGTGTTAGGATTGGATGTTTCAATACTTTTGCCTGTTCTGTTCAAGTTGTCGTGGATCAGCTTCAAGCTTGACTCACGACAAATTATATGGTGCAGTATTTTCAATCAAAAAAGTCTAGCAACATAGCAAAATGAACGGTCATGCACTATGTCTGCCTCCTTTAGTTGGGCGCGGCAGAGCATCCTTCGGAGACAGAAGTGCTCCTGCTGTTGGTCAGAAAGCCTTCCCGTGTGATGTGCCGCATTCCAAGAAGGTTCTGGAAAGGAGTTCCATCATTCTGCAGTTGATCAAAACTGTTGGGGGTCTCCTTGGTTTGCTTGCAGTTCCTGCAATCACCAAAAGGCTTTTATATCCTGCTGCGGCACCCGTTGGGAATTTGCACCAGCGCTTAAAAGGTGCAGGCAGAAAGCTGCGTAGCCCCAGCGTCAAATTCGCAATGAAACCTTACCAGGAAATCACAGAGAATCGTGCCTTGATCCTCCAAGGCCGAAATCAGGAAGGTAAAACGACCTTGCTTCGTGAAACGATCCCACGGCATAGGCGCTGGGGACCCCTGGCTCTTGAGGGCATCTACCTCAACGGTGCCGAGGGCAAGAGCGTGGATAGCTTCAAAGAGTGGCTAACGACGCAGATGTTCGGCATGACCACAACTGGAGGCTCCGAGATTGCTTACAATTTGCAAGCTTACAAAAGCAAGCAATGGTTTGTTGGTTTCCTGGAGAATTTGGGATTGCCCATCGCCCCCAAGCCTGCCATCGTGCTGGTGGATCAGTTTGAAGAGCTCCTGAAGCGCTTCCCAGTGCAAGCCCTCGACTGGGCAAACACACTGACCAACAAGCACACCCGAGACAACCTTGCCCGGGTGATCTTCGTTTGCAACTCAAATGCTGGCTCTCAGGCCTTGCTCAATTTGAACCAAGGCACTCGCTTTGACAGGGTCATCATGGAGCGGGTGTCTGGGCAAGGTGTGATAGGCTTGGACAAGGAGTTGTTCCAGAAGTGTAGTTGCAGCATTGGCATGTACAAACTCGTGGAGGACAAGATGGCAAGGCAGGAACTGACCGAAGAGCAGGTGGAGGACTTTATCAGGGCAACCTTCCATCGGTGGGAGCTGGACTTCCACCTGCCCTACCCCGTGAAGTATGACAGGTCATGGGCAGAGATGGACGTAGAGCTGATGAAAAAGAGGATGGACGAGTTTCTTGAGCAGGCTCTCCGCGCGAGGGAGAAGGATGGCAAGAAGGTCTTCACCGAAGAGCAGATCAACTCTTGGATGGGCTTTGCCAAAAGAACATGGGAGCCTCTCAACCAGCAACAGATCTTGGACGCCTCCGAGGAGCTGTGGTTGAAGCGGCTGGAGGGAGAGGGTGCTCATCCTGGAGTTGCAGAGGCTTTAGCCAGCCAGGTCAAGGGCATGATTTGCTCACCTGTTCCGAAAAGGTGAGGATGCTTTGTTTCACCATGCGTGTATTTGTATAGTTGGAGAGACCTCAAATTGCCCCGCTCAAAAGGTCTTTGTTGCTTTGCAGATGTCCAGCTTTGTCATGTCAACCTTGCTTTCTTGATTGTGCCATATTTCTTCTGTGGAATTGCACAGCGTCCAAGCACTTCAAAGTGAACTTTCTTGGAACTTTAGTATTCACAAATGAATTGCCTAATTGAAAACGAATACATAAAGTGAACTTTCTTGGAACTTTAGTATTCACAAATGAATTGCCTAATTGAAAACGAATACATAAAGTGAACTTTCTTGGAATTTTAGTATTCACAAATGAATTGCCTAATTGAAAACGAATACATAAAGTGAACTTTCTTGGAACGTTACTATTCACAAATGAATTGCCTAATTGAAAACGAATACCCTCTGGTAAACTAACATAGCTATGGAAAATCACCATTTTTAATGGGAAAATCCACTATAAATCACCATTTTCAATAGCCATGTTAAATTACCAGAGGGTACATAAAGTGAACTTTCTTGGAACTTTAGTATTCACAAATGAATTGCCTAATTGAAAACGAATACATAAAGTGAACTTTCTTGGAACTTTAGTCTTCACAAATGAATTGCCTAATTGAAAACGAATACATAAAGTGAACTTTCTTGGAACTTTAGTATTCAACCATCAAAAATTTGATTAGACACCTGAAATCCAAATACTTTATTTAGGGGCATGTAAACATACATGATTATTTTGATGTCAGGGGTCTCCAGGGCCACCCCCTTTGCACGATTGTTTTTTTGCATTTTTCGAGCGGGTTTAGTAAGGAAATCGACCATTTGATCCTTGTTGTTTTTTCAACTCCTGAACTTTTCAGGCAAGATTTGGAGTTTAGAGTGTACTGCTTCCAGCTCAAAGAGTCTTGAGGGCTTCAGAAAGGGTTTGAGAGAGGATTCAAATAGGAAAGGAATTGAGAAACAATTTCAACCACCAAAATTTTAGACCCCTGAAATCCAAATACTTTATTTAGGGGCGTGTAAACATACATGATTATTTTGATGTCAGGGGTCTCCAGGGCCACCCCCTTTGCGCGATTGTTTTTTTGCATTTTTTGAAAGGGTTTAGTAAGGAAATCGGCCATTTGAGCCTTGTTGATTTTTTCAACTCCAGAACGAATACATAAAAGGGGGAAAAACGGAAAAAACAACTGTAGTATTCACAAATGAATTGCCTAATTGAAAACGAAGGGAAAAAACGGAGAAAAAAAACGGAAAAAAACTTTAGTATTCACAAATGAATTGCCAAATTGAAAACGAATACATACAGGGAAAAAAACAGAAAAATAAACGGAAAAAAAACACTTTAGTATTCACAAATGAATTTGCCTGATTGAAAACGAATATTAAAGGGAAAAAACGGAAAAAAAACGGGAAAAAACAAGTTGGCGTACTTTATTACGGGGGGGGTTGATTAATTTTTCCCGGGAGTTGGCGTACTTTATTGTGGGGGGTTTATTAACGCCATGTGGACATTACTTATGATTAGCCGCAGATATTGACCAGTTTTGCCACATGGATTGACCCCAAATCAGGAAAGTGGAATAGCTGAACTCAACTGGCACTGGGTCAACCAAGAAAAATTGAGACTATATACCTAGTCTCCTGATTGTTTTGGAACTGCTCGGTGAAAGGTAGAGAAAACATAGGTCAATCAATTTCACAATTGGAGCGCAACTAGCAGAAAAAAAACAATCGTGTGTGAATTGCGGTTGATTGCAAATGAAAATTAACACTGACAGAAACCCACAAATTGCATACTGGTATTCAGGGCGATATCAAGAGTTTATTCGAGGTGACTGATCGACATTTTTTGCATCGATGTTCTATTGTTGGGAATCGACTCGCTGATGTACGATGTTTGCTTGGTAAATTGGACAAGTTGCGGGAGTTTGACATCAAAAACAAAGAAGACTTGAACAGCAAAAGTGCCAGCCACTAAATTAGCAACAAAGCTGAAGACAAGAAAATGACCAGCCAAAAAGGGGAAATGACCGCAAAGACCCATGAACGACCTATAGCCAACAATAGAAAAGGGGATCTGCCATAGAACTTGCCATAGAAGCGTGAAGAAAGATCGCAGGCTTCAAGCACTTCAAGCACGAGGCCGTCGCCAAGAACAAAGCGCTGGGTGCCTTTGTATCTTGGATGATAATTTGCACCCAGGTTTGGGATGCTTGGTTGGTTCAGATATGTTTTTACTGTGGCAAACCCTTCAACCCAGTGCCTTGAGAACTCCCCAAAGAAAAGTGCAACATTAGTGGTGGCTAAGTGGTTGATCACTTTTTTGACCACCAAAGTGGCCCGGGTACTGGCAAAAGCATGCACCAAAAACATACAGAAACGTGCTGGTTGACATATTAGGATGAGTAAAACTTACAGGATCATCCAATGTCAAAACATGTATATATATATATGTTTGTGTGTGCACCTGCGCATATTTTATGTATATATATATGGTATCCACATTTATCGATGATAAAGGACGGTCCAAACGACAGATCCGAAACATACACATTTAAATCCTACCGGCTAGATCCCAGGTGTGTCATGTTCAGCACCTTTATATATATATATTTATTATTATGTAATTATATATATATATTATTATGTAATTATATATATATTATACAAATTCTCGTTATCATTACCTTCGGAACTTCGTTTGTACATATATACATGTATACACAAAGTTAGACACACACACACACATATATATATATACTTATTTATTTAAGCCGAAAGTCAACTGGCCCATTTTGCCCACCATAACCACAACCAAGAATAAAAGGAGTCATCGGGACTGTCTGGGTATATTTACGTATATGTCTATATTACATACATCTGGACGGCCCTGTTAATGATTGTTAGTAGCCGTAGCTATCCCAAAACATCCTGAGTGTTTGTTGGATGCTATTCACCTTATGTATCCTCATATGATATTCCCATCGTATCCCAGTGCAACTGAATGATATCCAAGCATATCAAATAGGCTTGGCTTGGCTTCACCCCTGTATCAAACCACCTTATTCAGCCACAATTCATCCAGAATATCGATCTTCGAAGCATTTTTTGACCTAAAGATCATCATATATTGAACATTATTGAACCAAATATATATATATATATTGTATTTGAATGTGTTTGGGATTATTTGTCCGGATTTTTCTTGGTTACTTAGAGGATCATCCCACTTACTAAGTGGTAACTGCAATGATCCTGGTTAGTAAGTCCCCGATAGCGTTGGTTATCCCACTTCTAAATGGCTGAACAAACCCAGTTACTAACCACTTAATGGGATGATCCTCTGGTAATTTAACGTAGCAAACTTGAAAATCACCATTTTTAAGAACGGTAAATCATCATAAATCATCGAGGTAAATGGACCACGATTTCCACAATCTTCCGTAGCTATATTAAATAACCACAGGGGATATCTTGGAGGGGCCCTTGGACAACTATTCTTTACAGGTTTGAAGACTTGTATTTCCACATTTCAGTCAGGGGTCCATTTTCTCAAGGTATATCGGTACAGGATGGGTCCTCCAAGATAGCCAAGTTGCCTTATAAGTGGCTTAACTATGGTTTATGGAAAATAGAACTATAGTCAATGGATGTTAATGGGGTTTATAAACCAACTTATATAGAGGTTTCCAAAGTCATGGGGGTATCCCCGAATCATCTATTTATAGATGGTTTGTCCATTAAAAACCAACCATTTTAAGATTCCCGTGACTATGGAAACCCCCATATCGATATATCCCTGTGATATTCCTCAGCTACGCATCCACGCCAGGACTGTCGACGACAGCGTGACAGTGGAGCCGCCGAAAGCGCCGGCCGGTGCCGGGGTTGTGTATATAGAAGCCATATCTATATCCGTATTATATATATATATATACCCATCACTTTTACAATATATACATATATATCGTATTTATTTTACATAATATTTCAGTATCAGTTGTATTATATATATATATTATAAAATGATTTACATATGCATATTTATAGGTGTTTAAATATACAGAATATATACATATACATATATATATATGGAAATAGTTTTAAATATATACATATATGCGTAAGTATTTGCTTGTATGTAAAACATGTAATATACGTATAGTTTGTCCCGAACCAATCAACCTGATGATTAAGAGGTACCTTCTACGGGGTACCCTGGCACGAACAGATTCAGTACATCGAAAGTGTATGGTTGTGGCGGAGCGGCTATATAATTATGCGTAGCCAACCTGTGTTCGCCATTACCTGAAATTTGCGTTGGTAATATCAATATCCCCGTCAACATCATAAGTTGTGCATGTAAACATGGAGCTGTGTATGTAGATGTTTGCAGATGCCACACCTAAAGCACACATGACCTCTGTTTTTGGGAAGTTTGTCCTTTTGTTGCCTCAATCAAAGCCTTAAAACCTCCGAAAAATATGGTTTCGTTGGGGTCCAGGTAAATGGCTTCGTGTGAACATAAGATGCCCCAAAATCCAGACACCCCCAAAGATCATATTGCTGGTGTATCCAACAAAATAAACTCATTCTGGTTGGTTATGATATGTTATTATTTATCTTGATTCAAGAGCTATGTGGGCCAGGTTTCTGTAGAGTACAGGCGGACATGATCATATACATATATCCATGTAGACATTTGTGTACACATTTGCAGTTGCATATGCATTACATATACATTACATTTATGTATCACATATCATATATTTAAGATTCAAGATCTTGTTTTACGTAAATAAGGTCTTACTGACATATATTATATGTCCGTAAGATCTTATTTACACAAAATCAGATCTTACGGACATTTGCGCATATGTGAAAAACAATTGTGGGGGCATATGTGACACATATTGCCCATATATGTTGTAAATAAATGCGGAACCTATATGTATATACGTATATACCCTCTAGGCCCTCTACAGAGTATAGCTCTTGAACCAAGTTAAGTTATTATGTTTATATTCCCATTATATTTACATTATAGCACATCATAGCACCATAACAACCTATATTATATTTGTCATGATAACCTTCAATATTCCCATTATATCACCATATTCACCTATAATTTATCATGATAACTCATAATATTCCCATTATATCACCATAAGAACCTACATATTTCAACTATTACAAAAGACAATGCAGCGGTGCAGGAGACTGATGAGACCGGCGCCGCGGGGTCGAACTTCGACATTCCAGGCCTCGGAAAACGGCCATGGAAAAACCGTGCCAAGAAACATGGGGATTTCATGGGACTTTATTGGGATATGATGGATTCTTATTTTTTTCAAACCAACAATAATGGGAAGATCATTGAAGATAATCGGATATGACAGCGTTTACAAACCAACTCTTGGGTAATCAAACATTATTAATGGTGGGGCATGTCCAATGCGAACTGGAGGTTCACGAACTATAACTTCCTGGGGTGAACCACCAAGTACCCTCCAAAAATTAAGGTGGTAAGCGAAAAACCACCTGGTCACAAAACACAGTAAATCACAGTATCTTTGACAATTTTTAGAGCAAACATCACTCCGCATGAGGGGCCGTTCTGTAAACAAAAGGGTCTTTCCATTGGTTAGATTTACCAGGAGGTAGGTGAGCAGGTGAAAGAATCCGCGGTGAATTATATTTGCAAGCCATACATGCTGGCTTGCTAATGATTGGAATTAGTTCGCCTTTTGATACCCTTTGCAACTACTTCATGAGGATTCACAATGGTTCATAGAAATTCGGAATCACAATAAATCTAGTCACCGATAGGTGAAATGTGGTAGAACGACGCGGCAGTTGTGTGTCCCGAAAGGGGACCGAATGAATTGACGAGACTGGGCATGTTGTTCGAACGTAATGCTTGAGAATGTTTGGCACATTGGTTTGCCTCCTTGGCATTTATAATCGAAACCATGGCAATTGATCATGGCGCTCATGCAGCAATTCTCTATGTTCAGACACACGTGTTCCGATCTATAATACAATTTAATACATAGCTATATCATCCAGTATCATCCTATATCGATAGCCTTCAAAGGGAAGAGTTTCTGTCTATATCCAGACATATCTAGCCATGCCAATGGTCTCTACATTGATCAGCGTGAGACGACCTGGTTGCACTGAGGAATAGCATTCACCACGCTGGGAATAGCCTATATCAAGTGGGATGGTCATCAATCCATGAATGGGGATTTAAAAAAGACCCATCATAAATAGTTACAGACTGTTTTAGATAATTAAGTATAAATCCGTGATTTTATATACACATCATAAACATATATATATATATGTATGTATCTGTTTATAAACTATACTCATGTATTATTTATTCATGTTTGTGCAGACGGACCTTTTACCGGCCCACAAATTGGGGTGGGGTGGGGTGGGGTGGGGTGTGATAGCATTCGTCACTACTGCAAGACATGATGTGAAGCTACGCTACGCATTCGTCACTACTGCAAGACATGATGTGAAGCTACGCTACGCATTCGTCACTACTGCAAGACATGATGTGATGCTACGCTACGCATTCGTCACTACTGCAAGACATGATGGGAGGCTACGCTACGCATGTGGTGGGGTGGGGTGGGGTGTGATAGCATTCGTCACTACTGCAAGACATGATGTGAAGCTACGCTACGCATTTGTCACTACTGCAAGACATGATGTGATGCTACGCTACGCATGGGGTGGGGTGGGGTGTGATAGCATTCGTCACTACTGCAAGACATGATGTGATGCTACGCTACGCATTCGTCACTACTGCAAGACATGATGGGAGGCTACGCTACGCATGGGGTGGGGTGGGGTGTTCCCACATGATGTGATGCTACGCTACGCATTCGTCACTACTGCAAGACATGATGGGAGGCTACGCTACGCATGATGGGAGGCTACGGTACGCTAGGCTACTGGAAATTGATGAAAAAGTCAATTCCAGACAGCATTCGTTCCCAAGTCCAAGGCAAACGCAATGGTTTGTTGTTCAAATACATTCGAAGTCACCAATGGAGATGGGAACACATTGACTTCGACTTGCTGACCGCCACTGGCGAAGCTGTAAGATCTCTCATGCGGTGAAGAGAAAAGACCACTTTGATCGTTCGCCGGGTTTTGAAGCACAAAACCCTGCAAGGGTTGCAAACCACACTAAAACGGATGTTTTTTTTCATGGTTGTTTCCCACATGAAATCGAGCTGGCGCCACAGCGAAACAAGACTTTTTAAGCAATCATGGGCCGGTGCCAGGTCCGCCGGGATGTTTGTCCCATTGCCCCTGGGATGACCATAGCACATTCATCCCGTTCTGACCATGGCATTGCCACATGAAACGAATCAAGCCAGGTGAGGAAGACTCCGAAGCTGGTGAGGCGTGCACCTAGCAAATGATACAGTATTCGTAGGTGAATGGCTTCATTTCGAACAGAATTGCAGGAATTTTGGAAGGATATTGGGGATTAACCGTTTGTTTTTTCAAATGAATCAACCAACATTTTGAATGGTGAGGTACACTTCTATTGCTGGTGGCATCAAAGCTTAACTATGCAAGTGTCAGTGCCATGAGATCTGTGTTGGATTTTTGGGGTCTTCCATGGTCTTCCTAGCAGCTCTGTCAAGTCTTAAAGTCTTAAAGTCCCAAGTGGCTGGAATCAAAATGATTGGCTCCGAAAATGTTGGACCAATTACAACGACCTCACTACTGTACAACATCATTGGAATGATGGTTAGGGGTAACTATCCCCCAAAACCCTTATTTCACGGAGTCGGGCCGCAAGGGGAAGACGGGAGGCCTTATTCCACGGTGGTAAACTAATATAACGTGTGCAGAAAAATCGTATTTTGGTGCGGAAAAATGACTCATCGATGCTGTGACCTTGGCAATCCAAGTTTGGCCTGTGGCCATCCGATTGATTTGTGGTATAACGTGAGCCATTGAAAGTAACTTGGTAGATTTTAGTGGGTTTTGAGGTTATGATACCTAGCATGTTGGAGATTATGAAATGATCCATATTAGGGAAACCTATCAATCTCTATCAACCAAAAAGCGCAATGAGATGGTAAAACGAGGTAGTTTTAATGGCTCAAGTGGTGGTTTCAACCATGGCACCATTGTTTCCCCGGCAATGATCCCAAGTGGCACCAGGTCACTCTGGAGCTTTTGCTCACCAAATTGATTCAGGCTGGGCGAACAGCTTTCACAGGTCGTTAAAGCAACAGAAATGGGGATAGAAAACCAACCAGTCTATGGGGACACATATACATAGTGATATCTAATTGTATGATATACATATTGGTTTGTGGATATATATATATATATACATGCGCTCACTTGTTAGTGAGGCAATTTTTCATGGGATTTACAACCAACAAGGTATACCATGCAATACGATCAAGCTGGCTTTGTCGTGCCTGAACATGGGTGATGAATCATGGGGCAACCCTGAGGACCCTGGAGACCCTGGACCAGAGCTCTGTGATTCTTAAATCACAATTGGCTCTTACTGGATGATTTCCAAATTCCCAATCTACGGGGATACAAGTGATAGACCATCCATTTAGATACCTTTAAACCCTGCCTCCCAAAAAACATGGGGTTGACGACCAGAAGCATCGACAGATGAAATCCAAGTTGAACCATTCATCCCATTATATAAATTGGAAATCCCCTAAACATGCCGGTTTTCATGGGAACATCATGTAAAAATGGGGTCCTCAACATCAGATCTCTTCCCGCTTCTGAGGCGCAGCAAGACGAAGAGACCTGGAGCCGAGCACTGGAGCATTTCTTTGGCGCGCCTGTGGGATCTCTGTTGGACCCGGAGCTGGAGAAGGCAAGGTGATCCGCTTGGCAACTGCGTGGTTCCGTAGATGTCTTGGTTGAAACCGAAAGTTTAGCCTCTTATCTTACATAGCTATGGTATAGATTCGCCAATTTATAGATGATTGTTATACATATATATATATGTATATGTATATATATATATATGTATAGTTATGATGATGACGATGATGATGATGATGATGGTGGTGATGGTGAGGGTGAGGGTGATGGTGATGAACCTATAAAATGTATTTTTCCAGTTCGCTACGTTGAATAACCAGGAGCTCAAAAAACAATTGCGATACCCCTGAGCTTTCGCCTTGAGGTGAACAGAGCCATCCAGCAGACGGCCGCCACACTGCAAGTCGAAGGTCCCTGCCCACAGGCGGAGGATGGGAGAATGGGATGATGATGATGATGATGATGATGATGATGATGTTTCCCATTTGGGATAAACCCAGATTCAGGCTGTAAAGAGCACTCAGCAAGCTGCATGGTCCTTTTGACTTGGGGATGAATTGTTCTCCTTCAAATTATTCTATGATTGTTTCTCTGTTTGGTTTTTATTAGTTTTCTTTTGAAAGCTTTGGTATAGCCAGCGGTGAGGCCTTTTTAGTCACGGCATCGGGCATGCTAACTGGTGGGTGTCCATATCGCATGCTGGGAGGCATCTTGGAAGGGAATAACTAAGCAAGAAGTTGCTTCGGAAAATCAAATTGCAATGGTTAAATCTGGCAATGCCAATGAATATGTCCAAATCCTATTAATAGCGGAAGCGCACATAGTAAGTGTTATTTTGATTTATTTTTATTGTTTTGTGTCATGTTCTAGTTTATTTGTAAGAACAGCATTTTTTGACGAGTAGGACGAGTACATTGTGAATGCTGCTAGCCCCAGCTTGGTCGGACAGCAATAATGTTTAATTTTTGCATTATTTATATATATATATACACACCGTTAAAAACAAAGTTAGAATGCGGTTTTGGCTTCGCGTGATGGTGGCCCGTTTGGCCCCCCCCACGGCGGGCGCATTCTAACTGAAGAAACACCTGTGAATATGCAGAAGCACAGTTAGAATGCGGCGCAGAAATTGGTGAGAAAATGTAAGTTTTGACTGGTATTTTACAGGCGAAATGGAGTTAGAATGCGGTGCTTGAAAAACACACCAATAGCCCATGTCTCACAGTATTTGCTGGTATATGCGCGGAAAGTATCAGTTAGAATGCCTGCCGTTCATGGTTTGTACTTTTTGGGCAAATGGGAAAATGTATATATGTAATATTAAGTTTTATGATGTTGTTTATTTTTATGTTGATTCTCATGTAATTAATATATTTATTTCCCAAGGATCAGGCAGCTCCACGTAACCCTGAGGTCCTTTTCACCCTGCAACAATTTCACGTAACTTCCCGCAGGTGTACGATCAAATTGCCTGTGATATGCTTCCCACAGTCTAAAAGCATACTGTCAATGAGGTGACCCCGCCCCATGAGCACGCAGCAGCCACACAGCCCTTAATTTTCCCTTCCACGGCGCAAATACAATACAAACATACAAAACCCTTACCAAAATATGGCACCTCTTTTTATAACCTTGCGTCTCTTTTTTTAAGCCTCACCCTTTTTTTTTACACCTTGGAAAACTCTTTTTTCTAACCTTGCCTCGCCACCTCTCTTTTCAAACCTTGCCACCTCTTTTTCCTGACCTTGCACTGCACCTCCTTTTTTTTCCACCTTGCTGACCTTTTTTTCTGACCTCGCACCCTGGGATTGAGGTTCTGGAAGGTTCTGGGCTCCGGGAATTGGGAGATTCTGTGCCTATTTGTCCTATCTGCTTTATCTTTCCTATCCTATCTATCCTATTTGTCCGATCTGTCCTATCTATCCAATCTATCCTCACCTATCCGACCCTGACCTATATCTATCTTATCTTTATATCCAACTTTGGAGACCATTCTCTCGACCTTCCAATGCTATGCTATCCTATCCCTTCCTATGCAATTCAATCCTATCCATCCTATTCTGTCCTGTCCTGTCCTATCCCATCCCATCCCGTTTACCTGCGCATCTATCGATCTATCGATCTATCGATCTGCCTATCTATCTATCTATCTATCTATCTATCTGTCTATTTATCTTTCTATCTATCTATCTGTTTGCCTATCTATCTGTCTGTCTATCTATCTGTCTATCTGTCTGTTTATCTATCTATCTATCTATCCATCCATCCATCCTATCTATCCTATCTATCCTATCTATCCTATCTATCCTATCTATCCTATCTATCCTATCTATCCTATCGATCCTATCTATCCTATCTATCAATCCTATCGATCCTATCTATCAATCCTATCGATCCTATCGATCCTATCGATCCTATCTATCCTATCTGTCCTATCTATCCTATCGATCCTATCGATCCTATCGATCCTATCGATCCTATCGATCCTATCTATCCTTTCTATCCTATCTGTCCTATCTATCCTATCTATCTATCTATCTATCTATCTAATTATCTATCAATCTATCTATGTATCTATCCATCTATCTATCTATCTCTCTACCTATCTTGCTATGTGTCTGTCTATCTATCTATCGATCTATCTATTTATCTATCTATTTATCTATCTATCTATCTATCTTTTTATCTATCTTTCTATCTATCTTTCTATCTATCTATTTATTTATCTATCTATTTATCTATCTATATATCTATCATATCTACTAATCTATTAATATATTTATCAATTAATCAATTAATCGATATATCTATCTATCCATCCATCCAATTTTCTATATATAGTGATCCTAAATTAGATAGAATATTTTTTGGAGGGTGCGGGATTTATGTTGGAATTATGTTGGATGTCGGCTACTTAAAAAAAATAGATATTTGGAATATTTCGACCCTCCCCCAGGCGAGGTCGAAAATTGGTAGTTGGAATATGGTTTGGAGGGTTTTAAGCTGCTGTGGGGTCTGCGCGTTGTGCTTATAATTCCCTTAAAATATTTTATTTACCTGGTTTGAAATAATATTCTATTTATTTCTTGGTATTATTTAATTTTTATATTTTTTGAAATTTCTTTAGATCCATATTTAAAATTGGTTAAAATTAATTTAATAAAAAATGAAATATATAAAAAAAATAAGAATTTTAAATATATTATTATTATTTATTTAAAAAAAATATTAATAAATAAAAATAACCGATATTTTATTTATTTTAGGATAATTATATTTATTTATTGTTTTATTTATTTGTTTATTTAATTATATATTTATTTATTTATATATTGAATATATTTTTCTTGGATAAAAACGAATCTTAGGCAAAAAATATAAGCAAATTTGGATTTATAATATATCCCTATTAAAGTTTTTTTTGTTTTAAGGAATTTTTTTCTTTACATAAAATAACCATTAAATTCTTTAATAAATTATTATATTTTGTATTCTAGATTTTAAATTTAACATATTATATTTCTATTTTATCGATTTAATTATCTCTCTTTTTATTTTTCATATATTATTTACATTTAATATATCTTTTGATATTTTTATCTGACATATTTTCTGATATTCTATTTAATATATTTTTTATAATATCTTTTGACATTTTATTTGACATATCTTCTGATATATCTTTTAGTACCCTGAGGATCCGATATTGAAAAAAATCAATCCTGATCAATCCTGATCAATAATATTGAAAATGATTTTTTTCAATACCAGGAAAATATGTTTTTCAATATCGAGGATTGAAAGAAAAGATCAATATTTCCAATCAATATCGATCAATAGCATGATCAATATCATATAGTAGTATCATCAGCAAGTCAAGACCATTATCAGTCTTCAGCTACAATTGTCAGATCCATTTTTCAAGCATGTAGGAGGCCATTAGAGGCATTCACAACACGCAAGCTTCTATTTCATACTCATATGTGCCAGAGCTGTTTTTGCTTATAGCAGATTTAAACTCATTGCCTGGTCTGGGCCTGAAAGAAGGCCATTCTTCAAAGTTTTGGGGTTTCAGCTGGTGTGTTGCGGGCTTGAAAGATCAATCATCTTCAAGGGATTTGAATCTGAGGATTTTCAGCTTGCTAGGGCTTGAAAGAAAGCCATGACATCCAAGGGTGGAGCACGCAGGTCATTGGTGCCACCAGTGGACTTGGATGCTTTGCGAAAAAATTTTGAGACAGCTGTGGCCACCCAAGGTGCTGATGCTTTTAAACTTGGTGACTATCAGGAGAAAAGTGTAAGCACAGCTGTGAGCTCTGCAGGTTTGCACCACAATGCAAAGTATGTCAAGGAGTTCTACAAAATCTCAGAAGGAGAAATTCCCTCTGGGCAGTTGAAGCAGTGCATCCTCAAATATGGGTACGCTCACAACGACAGTGAGTAGAAGGATGACCTGTGGGCAGGCAAGCTTGCAAGTCAATTTGTCTGCTTGCTCAGCCATGTGAGAAGACTGAAAAGAGACTCTTCGAAACTAAGGCAGTGCCTGCAGGGAGCTACAGGGGCTGAAAGGCAATCCATTCTTGAAATTGTGGATTTGCCAGATGCTTGCAAGAAAGCAGCCCCAGGTCCTGAGGATGACCAGGCCTGCAAGAAGGCCAAAGCTGCCAAGGAGACTTCTTCTGCGAAAGCTGCAGAGGCTGGTGGCCAAGGAAGTTCCAGCTCTGCTTCTTTGAAAGAACCCGAGGAGCAGGCCTGCAAGAAGGCCAGAACTTTGAAACTACAAGTTTCAGATGTTTCTGTGGACTCCCATGGCTGGCCAGCCATTCTCAATTCTCCAAAGGCTGCAAAAGAAGAAGAAGAAGAAGTGAAAGATTGCTTTTCCAGAAACATGACAATTCTGGAAAAAATGAGGGTAAGCTGCAAGGAGCAGCTGGATAAAGCTGCACAAGGGGCAGCCCAAGAGTTGGTTGAGAGCAGACCAGGGCTTGAAAGAAGGTCAGAAATCCAAAAAAAGCCAGCCAGCAAAGAATGCAAAAAAAAGCCAGCTTCGAAGAAAGCTTCCTTGCCCAAGGCAAAAAGCTTAAGGCCTGAAAGAAGGCCCACAGAGAAGCAAGGACCAAAAAAAGAAGCAGCACCACAGCCAGAACCATTGGTGGCAGCAGAAGGGCCAAGGCCTGAAAGAAGGCCATGGTCAGCAGTGAAAAAAGTCATGGGCAAGGACCAAGCCTATCTCATGGGCCTTTTTGGAAGAGATTGGAAGCTCATCATTGGCTGCACCAAAAGAATGGGAAAGATTTTCCCAGGTGGGCATCACGCTGTGATTTTGGAGCTGGAAAAGGTGGCCATGGAGGAGGACATAACAAAGGAAAACATGAAAGAAAAAAGAGACGATTTAGTCAAAAATGTAGATTGAATGCCTGAAAGAAGGCATACACCTTTCTAACAGGGCAAGGCCTGAAAGAAGGCCACTAGGAGGGTTCAGGCCGCAGCCATGTGCAAAGCACATGGCCAGGACTTTTTTCTTGGCAAAAAAAAATTGTGGTTTGGGGTTTGGGTAAAGTGTTTGTTTTTGTGGGGCAGGGGATAGCCAACGAAATTTAAAGAAAAACCTCACCGTTTTCACTGTCATTCTTTTTGTACTTAGGTTATGACCTGAGTGTTCCAGGGGTGTTATGTTCACCAAAAAGGGTTTAACATAGTAGGCGAAAGCAATCTGTTTGTTGCCTGCAGCCTTTTGAGCCTCAAAACCGAAGATAGGTGGGGGGGCACCTTTCAACCTCTAAGCGCACTTCAACTTAAGGCCTGCAAGGAGGCCCAGCAATTCAATCACTTGCAAATCTTCCAGCTCAAGGCCTGCAAGAAGGCCATCTGAAACCACATGACCTGGTGGGTAGGCCGAGCTTATGCTGGCTATGTGCCCTGGGGTCATGAAAAGGATTGGGATGATGGCGACACCTGGACTGGCTGGGAAAGGGAGCCTGATAGGGAGCTGAGAGACAGGGAGAGAAGGTGGAGGGACAGGGATGAGGAGGAGGAATCATCCTCTGACAACTCACTGCGCAGGGGGCAGAGGAGACAGGAGGAGGAGGCTCCCAGAAGCACACAGGGCCGCCTCTTTGGCCCAAGCCCTGCAGAGGCAGCCAGGGAAGGCCTGCAAGAAGGCCAAAAAGGGAAAAGCAAAGGCAAAGCCAAGGCCAAAGAAAAGGGGTCAGGTGCAAGCAGCAGCAGGCCTGAAAGAAGGCCAGCTTTTGTCCCTGAGCATCGACCAGGGGAGGAGGATTGGGACACTTTCAGGCAAGAAGCCAGGGGCAAGAGGGGAAGGGAAGCGAGAAAGGCTTTGAGGGCCAGAGACCCTGAAGTCCAAGCCAGGAAAGAGAAGGGCCTGAAAGAAGGCTTTAAGGAAGACAAGGTTCAGCCTTTGCATGAAGGGAGCAGGAAATGGAGGATGATCAAGGAGAGGGAGAAGGAGGTGAAGGAGGAGGAGGAGCAACTAATGCTTGAAAGAAAGCAGTTGCTGGAAGAGAAGGCAGCCTTCTTGGAAGAGAAGGCTGCATGGCTCAGCAAGCAGGAGATGAGCCCCAGCCCTGCCAGAGGGGTAGTCCTGCAGGAAGGGCCAGGGGCCAGGCCTGAAAGAAGGCCAAAAAGGAAGGACAGCAGCAGCAGCAGGCCTGAAAGAAGGCCAAAAAGGAAGGACAGCAGCAGCAGCAGGCCTGAAAGAAGGCCTAAACAAAAAGCCGGCAGATCCTCCTCCTCTTCTTATTCATATGAATACAGTGAAGAGGAGGAGGTATTTGTGGAGGAGGAGCAGCCAGACTGGCAGGAGGAGGAGGAGGAGAAAGAGGAAAAGGAGGAGGAGGAGCAGCCAAAGAAAAAGGACCCCAAGGACAAGGAAAAGAAAGCTGCAAAGGAGGAGGAGCGAAAGGAGAAAAAGGTTTCCAAGGAAAAGGAAGCTGCAAAGAAGGAGAAGAAGCCCCAAAAGGAAGAATGTGTTTGGGATTATTTGTCCGGATTTTTCTTGGTTACTTAGAGGATCATCCCACTTACTAAGTGGTAACTGCAATGATCCTGGTTAGTAAGTCCCCGATAGCGTTGGTTATCCCACTTCTAAATGGCTGAACAAACCCAGTTACTAACCACTTAATGGGATGATCCTCTGGTAATTTAACGTAGCAAACTTGAAAATCACCATTTTTAAGAACGGTAAATCATCATAAATCATCGAGGTAAATGGACCACGATTTCCACAATCTTCCGTAGCTATATTAAATAACCACAGGGGATATCTTGGAGGGGCCCTTGGACAACTATTCTTTACAGGTTTGAAGACTTGTATTTCCACATTTCAGTCAGGGGTCCATTTTCTCAAGGTATATCGGTACAGGATGGGTCCTCCAAGATAGCCAAGTTGCCTTATAAGTGGCTTAACTATGGTTTATGGAAAATAGAACTATAGTCAATGGATGTTAATGGGGTTTATAAACCAACTTATATAGAGGTTTCCAAAGTCATGGGGGTATCCCCGAATCATCTATTTATAGATGGTTTGTCCATTAAAAACCAACCATTTTAAGATTCCCGTGACTATGGAAACCCCCATATCGATATATCCCTGTGATATTCCTCAGCTACGCATCCACGCCAGGACTGTCGACGACAGCGTGACAGTGGAGCCGCCGAAAGCGCCGGCCGGTGCCGGGGTTGTGTATATAGAAGCCATATCTATATCCGTATTATATATATATATATACCCATCACTTTTACAATATATACATATATATCGTATTTATTTTACATAATATTTCAGTATCAGTTGTATTATATATATATATATATTATAAAATGATTTACATATGCATATTTATAGGTGTTTAAATATACAGAATATATACATATACATATATATATATATGGAAATAGTTTTAAATATATACATATATGCGTAAGTATTTGCTTGTATGTAAAACATGTAATATACGTATAGTTTGTCCCGAACCAATCAACCTGATGATTAAGAGGTACCTTCTACGGGGTACCCTGGCACGAACAGATTCAGTACATCGAAAGTGTATGGTTGTGGCGGAGCGGCTATATAATTATGCGTAGCCAACCTGTGTTCGCCATTACCTGAAATTTGCGTTGGTAATATCAATATCCCCGTCAACATCATAAGTTGTGCATGTAAACATGGAGCTGTGTATGTAGATGTTTGCAGATGCCACACCTAAAGCACACATGACCTCTGTTTTTGGGAAGTTTGTCCTTTTGTTGCCTCAATCAAAGCCTTAAAACCTCCGAAAAATATGGTTTCGTTGGGGTCCAGGTAAATGGCTTCGTGTGAACATAAGATGCCCCAAAATCCAGACACCCCCAAAGATTATATTGCTGGTGTATCCAACAAAATAAACTCATTCTGGTTGGTTATGATATGTTATTATTTATCTTGATTCAAGAGCTATGTGGGCCAGGTTTCTGTAGAGTACAGGCGGACATGATCATATACATATATCCATGTAGACATTTGTGTACACATTTGCAGTTGCATATGCATTACATATACATTACATTTATGTATCACATATCATATATTTAAGATTCAAGATCTTGTTTTACGTAAATAAGGTCTTACTGACATATATTATATGTCCGTAAGATCTTATTTACACAAAATCAGATCTTACGGACATTTGCGCATATGTGAAAAACAATTGTGGGGGCATATGTGACACATATTGCCCATATATGTTGTAAATAAATGCGGAACCTATATGTATATACGTATATACCCTCTAGGCCCTCTACAGAGTATAGCTCTTGAACCAAGTTAAGTTATTATGTTTATATTCCCATTATATTTACATTATAGCACATCATAGCACCATAACAACCTATATTATATTTGTCATGATAACCTTCAATATTCCCATTATATCACCATATTCACCTATAATTTATCATGATAACTCATAATATTCCCATTATATCACCATAAGAACCTACATATTTCAACTATTACAAAAGACAATGCAGCGGTGCAGGAGACTGATGAGACCGGCGCCGCGGGGTCGAACTTCGACATTCCAGGCCTCGGAAAACGGCCATGGAAAAACCGTGCCAAGAAACATGGGGATTTCATGGGACTTTATTGGGATATGATGGATTCTTATTTTTTTCAAACCAACAATAATGGGAAGATCATTGAAGATAATCGGATATGACAGCGTTTACAAACCAACTCTTGGGTAATCAAACATTATTAATGGTGGGGCATGTCCAATGCGAACTGGAGGTTCACGAACTATAACTTCCTGGGGTGAACCACCAAGTACCCTCCAAAAATTAAGGTGGTAAGCGAAAAACCACCTGGTCACAAAACACAGTAAATCACAGTATCTTTGACAATTTTTAGAGCAAACATCACTCCGCATGAGGGGCCGTTCTGTAAACAAAAGGGTCTTTCCATTGGTTAGATTTACCAGGAGGTAGGTGAGCAGGTGAAAGAATCCGCGGTGAATTATATTTGCAAGCCATACATGCTGGCTTGCTAATGATTGGAATTAGTTCGCCTTTTGATACCCTTTGCAACTACTTCATGAGGATTCACAATGGTTCATAGAAATTCGGAATCACAATAAATCTAGTCACCGATAGGTGAAATGTGGTAGAACGACGCGGCAGTTGTGTGTCCCGAAAGGGGACCGAATGAATTGACGAGACTGGGCATGTTGTTCGAACGTAATGCTTGAGAATGTTTGGCACATTGGTTTGCCTCCTTGGCATTTATAATCGAAACCATGGCAATTGATCATGGCGCTCATGCAGCAATTCTCTATGTTCAGACACACGTGTTCCGATCTATAATACAATTTAATACATAGCTATATCATCCAGTATCATCCTATATCGATAGCCTTCAAAGGGAAGAGTTTCTGTCTATATCCAGACATATCTAGCCATGCCAATGGTCTCTACATTGATCAGCGTGAGACGACCTGGTTGCACTGAGGAATAGCATTCACCACGCTGGGAATAGCCTATATCAAGTGGGATGGTCATCAATCCATGAATGGGGATTTAAAAAAGACCCATCATAAATAGTTACAGACTGTTTTAGATAATTAAGTATAAATCCGTGATTTTATATACACATCATAAACATATATATATATATGTATGTATCTGTTTATAAACTATACTCATGTATTATTTATTCATGTTTGTGCAGACGGACCTTTTACCGGCCCACAAATTGGGGTGGGGTGGGGTGTGATAGCATTCGTCACTACTGCAAGACATGATGTGAAGCTACGCTACGCATTCGTCACTACTGCAAGACATGATGTGATGCTACGCTACGCATTCGTCACTACTGCAAGACATGATGGGAGGCTACGCTACGCATGTGGTGGGGTGGGGTGGGGTGTGATAGCATTCGTCACTACTGCAAGACATGATGTGAAGCTACGCTACGCATTTGTCACTACTGCAAGACATGATGTGATGCTACGCTACGCATGGGGTGGGGTGGGGTGTGATAGCATTCGTCACTACTGCAAGACATGATGTGATGCTACGCTACGCATTCGTCACTACTGCAAGACATGATGGGAGGCTACGCTACGCATGGGGTGGGGTGGGGTGTTCCCACATGATGTGATGCTACGCTACGCATTCGTCACTACTGCAAGACATGATGGGAGGCTACGCTACGCATGATGAGAGGCTACGGTACGCTAGGCTACTGGAAATTGATGAAAAAGTCAATTCCAGACAGCATTCGTTCCCAAGTCCAAGGCAAACGCAATGGTTTGTTGTTCAAATACATTCGAAGTCACCAATGGAGATGGGAACACATTGACTTCGACTTGCTGACCGCCACTGGCGAAGCTGTAAGATCTCTCATGCGGTGAAGAGAAAAGACCACTTTGATCGTTCGCCGGGTTTTGAAGCACAAAACCCTGCAAGGGTTGCAAACCACACTAAAACGGATGTTTTTTTTCATGGTTGTTTCCCACATGAAATCGAGCTGGCGCCACAGCGAAACAAGACTTTTTAAGCAATCATGGGCCGGTGCCAGGTCCGCCGGGATGTTTGTCCCATTGCCCCTGGGATGACCATAGCACATTCATCCCGTTCTGACCATGGCATTGCCACATGAAACGAATCAAGCCAGGTGAGGAAGACTCCGAAGCTGGTGAGGCGTGCACCTAGCAAATGATACAGTATTCGTAGGTGAATGGCTTCATTTCGAACAGAATTGCAGGAATTTTGGAAGGATATTGGGGATTAACCGTTTGTTTTTTCAAATGAATCAACCAACATTTTGAATGGTGAGGTACACTTCTATTGCTGGTGGCATCAAAGCTTAACTATGCAAGTGTCAGTGCCATGAGATCTGTGTTGGATTTTTGGGGTCTTCCATGGTCTTCCTAGCAGCTCTGTCAAGTCTTAAAGTCTTAAAGTCCCAAGTGGCTGGAATCAAAATGATTGGCTCCGAAAATGTTGGACCAATTACAACGACCTCACTACTGTACAACATCATTGGAATGATGGTTAGGGGTAACTATCCCCCAAAACCCTTATTTCACGGAGTCGGGCCGCAAGGGGAAGACGGGAGGCCTTATTCCACGGTGGTAAACTAATATAACGTGTGCAGAAAAATCGTATTTTGGTGCGGAAAAATGACTCATCGATGCTGTGACCTTGGCAATCCAAGTTTGGCCTGTGGCCATCCGATTGATTTGTGGTATAACGTGAGCCATTGAAAGTAACTTGGTAGATTTTAGTGGGTTTTGAGGTTATGATACCTAGCATGTTGGAGATTATGAAATGATCCATATTAGGGAAACCTATCAATCTCTATCAACCAAAAAGCGCAATGAGATGGTAAAACGAGGTAGTTTTAATGGCTCAAGTGGTGGTTTCAACCATGGCACCATTGTTTCCCCGGCAATGATCCCAAGTGGCACCAGGTCACTCTGGAGCTTTTGCTCACCAAATTGATTCAGGCTGGGCGAACAGCTTTCACAGGTCGTTAAAGCAACAGAAATGGGGATAGAAAACCAACCAGTCTATGGGGACACATATACATAGTGATATCTAATTGTATGATATACATATTGGTTTGTGGATATATATATATATATACATGCGCTCACTTGTTAGTGAGGCAATTTTTCATGGGATTTACAACCAACAAGGTATACCATGCAATACGATCAAGCTGGCTTTGTCGTGCCTGAACATGGGTGATGAATCATGGGGCAACCCTGAGGACCCTGGAGACCCTGGACCAGAGCTCTGTGATTCTTAAATCACAATTGGCTCTTACTGGATGATTTCCAAATTCCCAATCTACGGGGATACAAGTGATAGACCATCCATTTAGATACCTTTAAACCCTGCCTCCCAAAAAACATGGGGTTGACGACCAGAAGCATCGACAGATGAAATCCAAGTTGAACCATTCATCCCATTATATAAATTGGAAATCCCCTAAACATGCCGGTTTTCATGGGAACATCATGTAAAAATGGGGTCCTCAACATCAGATCTCTTCCCGCTTCTGAGGCGCAGCAAGACGAAGAGACCTGGAGCCGAGCACTGGAGCATTTCTTTGGCGCGCCTGTGGGATCTCTGTTGGACCCGGAGCTGGAGAAGGCAAGGTGATCCGCTTGGCAACTGCGTGGTTCCGTAGATGTCTTGGTTGAAACCGAAAGTTTAGCCTCTTATCTTACATAGCTATGGTATAGATTCGCCAATTTATAGATGATTGTTATACATATATATATATGTATATGTATATATATATATATGTATAGTTATGATGATGACGATGATGATGATGATGATGGTGGTGATGGTGAGGGTGAGGGTGATGGTGATGAACCTATAAAATGTATTTTTCCAGTTCGCTACGTTGAATAACCAGGAGCTCAAAAAACAATTGCGATACCCCTGAGCTTTCGCCTTGAGGTGAACAGAGCCATCCAGCAGACGGCCGCCACACTGCAAGTCGAAGGTCCCTGCCCACAGGCGGAGGATGGGAGAATGGGATGATGATGATGATGATGATGATGATGATGATGTTTCCCATTTGGGATAAACCCAGATTCAGGCTGTAAAGAGCACTCAGCAAGCTGCATGGTCCTTTTGACTTGGGGATGAATTGTTCTCCTTCAAATTATTCTATGATTGTTTCTCTGTTTGGTTTTTATTAGTTTTCTTTTGAAAGCTTTGGTATAGCCAGCGGTCAGGCCTTTTTAGTCACGGCATCGGGCATGCTAACTGGTGGGTGTCCATATCGCATGCTGGGAGGCATCTTGGAAGGGAATAACTAAGCAAGAAGTTGCTTCGGAAAATCAAATTGCAATGGTTAAATCTGGCAATGCCAATGAATATGTCCAAATCCTATTAATAGCGGAAGCGCACATAGTAAGTGTTATTTTGATTTATTTTTATTGTTTTGTGTCATGTTCTAGTTTATTTGTAAGAACAGCATTTTTTGACGAGTAGGACGAGTACATTGTGAATGCTGCTAGCCCCAGCTTGGTCGGACAGCAATAATGTTTAATTTTTGCATTATTTATATATATATATATACACACCGTTAAAAACAAAGTTAGAATGCGGTTTTGGCTTCGCGTGATGGTGGCCCGTTTGGCCCCCCCCCCCACGGCGGGCGCATTCTAACTGAAGAAACACCTGTGAATATGCAGAAGCACAGTTAGAATGCGGCGCAGAAATTGGTGAGAAAATGTAAGTTTTGACTGGTATTTTACAGGCGAAATGGAGTTAGAATGCGGTGCTTGAAAAACACACCAATAGCCCATGTCTCACAGTATTTGCTGGTATATGCGCGGAAAGTATCAGTTAGAATGCCTGCCGTTCATGGTTTGTACTTTTTGGGCAAATGGGAAAATGTATATATGTAATATTAAGTTTTATGATGTTGTTTATTTTTATGTTGATTCTCATGTAATTAATATATTTATTTCCCAAGGATCAGGCAGCTCCACGTAACCCTGAGGTCCTTTTCACCCTGCAACAATTTCACGTAACTTCCCGCAGGTGTACGATCAAATTGCCTGTGATATGCCTCCCACAGTCTAAAAGCATACTGTCAATGAGGTGACCCCGCCCCATGAGCACGCAGCAGCCACACAGCCCTTAATTTTCCCTTCCACGGCGCAAATACAATACAAACATACAAAACCCTTACCAAAATATGGCACCTCTTTTTATAACCTTGCGTCTCTTTTTTTAAGCCTCACCCTTTTTTTTTACACCTTGGAAAACTCTTTTTTCTAACCTTGCCTCGCCACCTCTCTTTTCAAACCTTGCCACCTCTTTTTCCTGACCTTGCACTGCACCTCCTTTTTTTTCCACCTTGCTGACCTTTTTTTCTGACCTCGCACCCTGGGATTGAGGTTCTGGAAGGTTCTGGGCTCCGGGAATTGGGAGATTCTGTGCCTATTTGTCCTATCTGCTTTATCTTTCCTATCCTATCTATCCTATTTGTCCGATCTGTCCTATCTATCCAATCTATCCTCACCTATCCGACCCTGACCTATATCTATCTTATCTTTATATCCAACTTTGGAGACCATTCTCTCGACCTTCCAATGCTATGCTATCCTATCCCTTCCTATGCAATTCAATCCTATCCATCCTATTCTGTCCTGTCCTGTCCTATCCCATCCCATCCCGTTTACCTGCGCATCTATCGATCTATCGATCTATCGATCTGCCTATCTATCTATCTATCTATCTATCTATCTGTCTATTTATCTTTCTATCTATCTATCTGTTTGCCTATCTATCTGTCTGTCTATCTATCTGTCTATCTGTCTGTTTATCTATCTATCTATCTATCCATCCATCCATCCTATCTATCCTATCTATCCTATCTATCCTATCTATCCTATCTATCCTATCTATCCTATCTATCCTATCGATCCTATCTATCCTATCTATCAATCCTATCGATCCTATCTATCAATCCTATCGATCCTATCGATCCTATCGATCCTATCTATCCTATCTGTCCTATCTATCCTATCGATCCTATCGATCCTATCGATCCTATCGATCCTATCGATCCTATCTATCCTTTCTATCCTATCTGTCCTATCTATCCTATCTATCTATCTATCTATCTATCTAATTATCTATCAATCTATCTATGTATCTATCCATCTATCTATCTATCTCTCTACCTATCTTGCTATGTGTCTGTCTATCTATCTATCGATCTATCTATTTATCTATCTATTTATCTATCTATCTATCTATCTTTTTATCTATCTTTCTATCTATCTTTCTATCTATCTATTTATTTATCTATCTATTTATCTATCTATATATCTATCATATCTACTAATCTATTAATATATTTATCAATTAATCAATTAATCGATATATCTATCTATCCATCCATCCAATTTTCTATATATAGTGATCCTAAATTAGATAGAATATTTTTTGGAGGGTGCGGGATTTATGTTGGAATTATGTTGGATGTCGGCTACTTAAAAAAAATAGATATTTGGAATATTTCGACCCTCCCCCAGGCGAGGTCGAAAATTGGTAGTTGGAATATGGTTTGGAGGGTTTTAAGCTGCTGTGGGGTCTGCGCGTTGTGCTTATAATTCCCTTAAAATATTTTATTTACCTGGTTTGAAATAATATTCTATTTATTTCTTGGTATTATTTAATTTTTATATTTTTTGAAATTTCTTTAGATCCATATTTAAAATTGGTTAAAATTAATTTAATAAAAAATGAAATATATAAAAAAAATAAGAATTTTAAATATATTATTATTATTTATTTAAAAAAAATATTAATAAATAAAAATAACCGATATTTTATTTATTTTAGGATAATTATATTTATTTATTGTTTTATTTATTTGTTTATTTAATTATATATTTATTTATTTATATATTGAATATATTTTTCTTGGATAAAAACGAATCTTAGGCAAAAAATATAAGCAAATTTGGATTTATAATATATCCCTATTAAAGTTTTTTTTGTTTTAAGGAATTTTTTTCTTTACATAAAATAACCATTAAATTCTTTAATAAATTATTATATTTTGTATTCTAGATTTTAAATTTAACATATTATATTTCTATTTTATCGATTTAATTATCTCTCTTTTTATTTTTCATATATTATTTACATTTAATATATCTTTTGATATTTTTATCTGACATATTTTCTGATATTCTATTTAATATATTTTTTATAATATCTTTTGACATTTTATTTGACATATCTTCTGATATATCTTTTAGTACCCTGAGGATCCGATATTGAAAAAAATCAATCCTGATCAATCCTGATCAATAATATTGAAAATGATTTTTTTCAATACCAGGAAAATATGTTTTTCAATATCGAGGATTGAAAGAAAAGATCAATATTTCCAATCAATATCGATCAATAGCATGATCAATATCATATAGTAGTATCATCAGCAAGTCAAGACCATTATCAGTCTTCAGCTACAATTGTCAGATCCATTTTTCAAGCATGTAGGAGGCCATTAGAGGCATTCACAACACGCAAGCTTCTATTTCATACTCATATGTGCCAGAGCTGTTTTTGCTTATAGCAGATTTAAACTCATTGCCTGGTCTGGGCCTGAAAGAAGGCCATTCTTCAAAGTTTTGGGGTTTCAGCTGGTGTGTTGCGGGCTTGAAAGATCAATCATCTTCAAGGGATTTGAATCTGAGGATTTTCAGCTTGCTAGGGCTTGAAAGAAAGCCATGACATCCAAGGGTGGAGCACGCAGGTCATTGGTGCCACCAGTGGACTTGGATGCTTTGCGAAAAAATTTTGAGACAGCTGTGGCCACCCAAGGTGCTGATGCTTTTAAACTTGGTGACTATCAGGAGAAAAGTGTAAGCACAGCTGTGAGCTCTGCAGGTTTGCACCACAATGCAAAGTATGTCAAGGAGTTCTACAAAATCTCAGAAGGAGAAATTCCCTCTGGGCAGTTGAAGCAGTGCATCCTCAAATATGGGTACACTCACAACGACAGTGAGTGGAAGGATGACCTGTGGGCAGGCAAGCTTGCAAGTCAATTTGTCTGCTTGCTCAGCCATGTGAGAAGACTGAAAAGAGACTCTTCGAAACTAAGGCAGTGCCTGCAGGGAGCTACAGGGGCTGAAAGGCAATCCATTCTTGAAATTGTGGATTTGCCAGATGCTTGCAAGAAAGCAGCCCCAGGTCCTGAGGATGACCAGGCCTGCAAGAAGGCCAAAGCTGCCAAGGAGACTTCTTCTGCGAAAGCTGCAGAGGCTGGTGGCCAAGGAAGTTCCAGCTCTGCTTCTTTGAAAGAACCCGAGGAGCAGGCCTGCAAGAAGGCCAGAACTTTGAAACTACAAGTTTCAGATGTTTCTGTGGACTCCCATGGCTGGCCAGCCATTCTCAATTCTCCAAAGGCCGCAAAAGAAGAAGAAGAAGAAGAAGAAGAAGAAGAAGAAGAAGAAGTGAAAGATTGCTTTTCCAGAAACATGACAATTCTGGAAAAAATGAGGGTAAGCTGCAAGGAGCAGCTGGATAAAGCTGCACAAGAGGCAGCCCAAGAGTTGGTTGAGAGCAGACCAGGGCTTGAAAGAAGGTCAGAAATCCAAAAAAAGCCAGCCAGCAAAGAATGCAAAAAAAGCCAGCTTCGAAGAAAGCTTCCTTGCCCAAGGCAAAAAGCTTAAGGCCTGAAAGAAGGCCCACAGAGAAGCAAGGACCAAAAAAAGAAGCAGCACCACAGCCAGAACCATTGGTGGCAGCAGAAGGGCCAAGGCCTGAAAGAAGGCCATGGTCAGCAGTGAAAAAAGTCATGGGCAAGGACCAAGCCTATCTCATGGGCCTTTTTGGAAGAGATTGGAAGCTCATCATTGGCTTCACCAAAAGAATGGGAAAGATTTTCCCAGGTGGGCATCACGCTGTGATTTTGGAGCTGGAAAAGGTGGCCATGGAGGAGGACATAACAAAGGAAAACATGAAAGAAAAAAGAGACGATTTAGTCAAAAATGTAGATTGAATGCCTGAAAGAAGGCATACACCTTTCTAACAGGGCAAGGCCTGAAAGAAGGCCACTAGGAGGGTTCAGGCCGCAGCCATGTGCAAAGCACATGGCCACGACTTTTTTCTTGGCCAAAAAAAATTGTGGTTTGGGGTTTGGGTAAAGTGTTTGTTTTTGTGGGGCAGGGGATAGCCAACGAAATTTAAAGAAAAACCTCACCGTTTTCACTGTCATTCTTTTTGTACTTAGGTTATGACCTGAGTGTTCCAGGGGTGTTATGTTCACCAAAAAGGGTTTAACATAGTAGGCGAAAGCAATCTGTTTGTTGCCTGCAGCCTTTTGAGCCTCAAAACCGAAGATAGGTGGGGGGGCACCTTTCAACCTCTAAGCGCGCTTCAACTTAAGGCCTGCAAGAAGGCCCAGCAATTCAATCACTTGCAAATCTTCCAGCTCAAGGCCTGCAAGAAGGCCATCTGAAACCACATGACCTGGTGGGTAGGCCGAGCTTATGCTGGCTATGTGCCCTGGGGTCATGAAAAGGATTGGGATGATGGCGACACCTGGACTGGCTGGGAAAGGGAGCCTGATAGGGAGCTGAGAGACAGGGAGAGAAGGTGGAGGGACAGGGATGAGGAGGAGGAATCATCCTCTGACAACTCCCTGCGCAGGGGGCAGAGGAGACAGGAGGAGGGCCGCCTCTTTGGCCCAAGCCCTGCAGAGGCAGCCAGGGAAGGCCTGCAAGAAGGCCAAAAAGGGAAAAGCAAAGGCAAAGCCAAGGCCAAAGAAAAGGGGTCAGGTGCAAGCAGCAGCAGGCCTGAAAGAAGGCCAGCTTTTGTCCCTGAGCATCGACCAGGGGAGGAGGATTGGGACACTTTCAGGCAAGAAGCCAGGGGCAAGAGGGGAAGGGAAGCGAGAAAGGCTTTGAGGGCCAGAGACCCTGAAGTCCAAGCCAGGAAAGAGAAGGGCCTGAAAGAAGGCTTTAAGGAAGACAAGGTTCAGCCTTTGCATGAAGGGAGCAGGAAATGGAGGATGATCAAGGAGAGGGAGAAGGAGGTGAAGGAGGAGGAGGAGCAACTAATGCTTGAAAGAAAGCAGTTGCTGGAAGAGAAGGCAGCCTTCTTGGAAGAGAAGGCTGCATGGCTCAGCAAGCAGGAGATGAGCCCCAGCCCTGCCAGAGGGGTAGTCCTGCAGGAAGGGCCAGGGGCCAGGCCTGAAAGAAGGCCAAAAAGGAAGGACAGCAGCAGCAGCAGGCCTGAAAGAAGGCCAAAAAGGAAGGACAGCAGCAGCAGCAGGCCTGAAAGAAGGCCTAAACAAAAAGCCGGCAGATCCTCCTCCTCTTCTTATTCATATGAATACAGTGAAGAGGAGGAGGTATTTGTGGAGGAGGAGCAGCCAGACTGGCAGGAGGAGGAGGAGGAGAAAGAGGAAAAGGAGGAGGAGGAGCAGCCAAAGAAAAAGGACCCCAAGGACAAGGAAAAGAAAGCTGCAAAGGAGGAGGAGCGAAAGGAGAAAAAGGTTTCCAAGGAAAAGGAAGCTGCAAAGAAGGAGAAGAAGCCCCAAAAGGAAGAATGTGTTTGGGATTATTTGTCCGGATTTTTCTTGGTTACTTAGAGGATCATCCCACTTACTAAGTGGTAACTGCAATGATCCTGGTTAGTAAGTCCCCGATAGCGTTGGTTATCCCACTTCTAAATGGCTGAACAAACCCAGTTACTAACCACTTAATGGGATGATCCTCTGGTAATTTAACGTAGCAAACTTGAAAATCACCATTTTTAAGAACGGTAAATCATCATAAATCATCGAGGTAAATGGACCACGATTTCCACAATCTTCCGTAGCTATATTAAATAACCACAGGGGATATCTTGGAGGGGCCCTTGGACAACTATTCTTTACAGGTTTGAAGACTTGTATTTCCACATTTCAGTCAGGGGTCCATTTTCTCAAGGTATATCGGTACAGGATGGGTCCTCCAAGATAGCCAAGTTGCCTTATAAGTGGCTTAACTATGGTTTATGGAAAATAGAACTATAGTCAATGGATGTTAATGGGGTTTATAAACCAACTTATATAGAGGTTTCCAAAGTCATGGGGGTATCCCCGAATCATCTATTTATAGATGGTTTGTCCATTAAAAACCAACCATTTTAAGATTCCCGTGACTATGGAAACCCCCATATCGATATATCCCTGTGATATTCCTCAGCTACGCATCCACGCCAGGACTGTCGACGACAGCGTGACAGTGGAGCCGCCGAAAGCGCCGGCCGGTGCCGGGGTTGTGTATATAGAAGCCATATCTATATCCGTATTATATATATATATATACCCATCACTTTTACAATATATACATATATATCGTATTTATTTTACATAATATTTCAGTATCAGTTGTATTATATATATATATATATTATAAAATGATTTACATATGCATATTTATAGGTGTTTAAATATACAGAATATATACATATACATATATATATATATGGAAATAGTTTTAAATATATACATATATGCGTAAGTATTTGCTTGTATGTAAAACATGTAATATACGTATAGTTTGTCCCGAACCAATCAACCTGATGATTAAGAGGTACCTTCTACGGGGTACCCTGGCACGAACAGATTCAGTACATCGAAAGTGTATGGTTGTGGCGGAGCGGCTATATAATTATGCGTAGCCAACCTGTGTTCGCCATTACCTGAAATTTGCGTTGGTAATATCAATATCCCCGTCAACATCATAAGTTGTGCATGTAAACATGGAGCTGTGTATGTAGATGTTTGCAGATGCCACACCTAAAGCACACATGACCTCTGTTTTTGGGAAGTTTGTCCTTTTGTTGCCTCAATCAAAGCCTTAAAACCTCCGAAAAATATGGTTTCGTTGGGGTCCAGGTAAATGGCTTCGTGTGAACATAAGATGCCCCAAAATCCAGACACCCCCAAAGATTATATTGCTGGTGTATCCAACAAAATAAACTCATTCTGGTTGGTTATGATATGTTATTATTTATCTTGATTCAAGAGCTATGTGGGCCAGGTTTCTGTAGAGTACAGGCGGACATGATCATATACATATATCCATGTAGACATTTGTGTACACATTTGCAGTTGCATATGCATTACATATACATTACATTTATGTATCACATATCATATATTTAAGATTCAAGATCTTGTTTTACGTAAATAAGGTCTTACTGACATATATTATATGTCCGTAAGATCTTATTTACACAAAATCAGATCTTACGGACATTTGCGCATATGTGAAAAACAATTGTGGGGGCATATGTGACACATATTGCCCATATATGTTGTAAATAAATGCGGAACCTATATGTATATACGTATATACCCTCTAGGCCCTCTACAGAGTATAGCTCTTGAACCAAGTTAAGTTATTATGTTTATATTCCCATTATATTTACATTATAGCACATCATAGCACCATAACAACCTATATTATATTTGTCATGATAACCTTCAATATTCCCATTATATCACCATATTCACCTATAATTTATCATGATAACTCATAATATTCCCATTATATCACCATAAGAACCTACATATTTCAACTATTACAAAAGACAATGCAGCGGTGCAGGAGACTGATGAGACCGGCGCCGCGGGGTCGAACTTCGACATTCCAGGCCTCGGAAAACGGCCATGGAAAAACCGTGCCAAGAAACATGGGGATTTCATGGGACTTTATTGGGATATGATGGATTCTTATTTTTTTCAAACCAACAATAATGGGAAGATCATTGAAGATAATCGGATATGACAGCGTTTACAAACCAACTCTTGGGTAATCAAACATTATTAATGGTGGGGCATGTCCAATGCGAACTGGAGGTTCACGAACTATAACTTCCTGGGGTGAACCACCAAGTACCCTCCAAAAATTAAGGTGGTAAGCGAAAAACCACCTGGTCACAAAACACAGTAAATCACAGTATCTTTGACAATTTTTAGAGCAAACATCACTCCGCATGAGGGGCCGTTCTGTAAACAAAAGGGTCTTTCCATTGGTTAGATTTACCAGGAGGTAGGTGAGCAGGTGAAAGAATCCGCGGTGAATTATATTTGCAAGCCATACATGCTGGCTTGCTAATGATTGGAATTAGTTCGCCTTTTGATACCCTTTGCAACTACTTCATGAGGATTCACAATGGTTCATAGAAATTCGGAATCACAATAAATCTAGTCACCGATAGGTGAAATGTGGTAGAACGACGCGGCAGTTGTGTGTCCCGAAAGGGGACCGAATGAATTGACGAGACTGGGCATGTTGTTCGAACGTAATGCTTGAGAATGTTTGGCACATTGGTTTGCCTCCTTGGCATTTATAATCGAAACCATGGCAATTGATCATGGCGCTCATGCAGCAATTCTCTATGTTCAGACACACGTGTTCCGATCTATAATACAATTTAATACATAGCTATATCATCCAGTATCATCCTATATCGATAGCCTTCAAAGGGAAGAGTTTCTGTCTATATCCAGACATATCTAGCCATGCCAATGGTCTCTACATTGATCAGCGTGAGACGACCTGGTTGCACTGAGGAATAGCATTCACCACGCTGGGAATAGCCTATATCAAGTGGGATGGTCATCAATCCATGAATGGGGATTTAAAAAAGACCCATCATAAATAGTTACAGACTGTTTTAGATAATTAAGTATAAATCCGTGATTTTATATACACATCATAAACATATATATATATATGTATGTATCTGTTTATAAACTATACTCATGTATTATTTATTCATGTTTGTGCAGACGGACCTTTTACCGGCCCACAAATTGGGGTGGGGTGGGGTGTGATAGCATTCGTCACTACTGCAAGACATGATGTGAAGCTACGCTACGCATTCGTCACTACTGCAAGACATGATGTGATGCTACGCTACGCATTCGTCACTACTGCAAGACATGATGGGAGGCTACGCTACGCATTCGTCACTACTGCAAGACATGATGTGATGCTACGCTACGCATTCGTCACTACTGCAAGACATGATGGGAGGCTACGCTACGCATGTGGTGGGGTGGGGTGGGGTGTGATAGCATTCGTCACTACTGCAAGACATGATGTGAAGCTACGCTACGCATTTGTCACTACTGCAAGACATGATGTGATGCTACGCTACGCATGGGGTGGGTTTCTTGGGGTGGGGATGCCCCCCCTGTTGATAGCATCGTCATACTTGCAAGACACTGATGTGATGCTCCGCTACGCATTCGTCACTACTGCAAGACATGATGTGATGCTACGCTACGCATTCGTCACTACTGCAAGACATGATGGGAGGCTACGCTACGCATGGGGTGGGGTGGGGTGTTCCCACATGATGTGATGCTACGCTACGCATTCGTCACTACTGCAAGACATGATGGGAGGCTACGCTACGCATGATGAGAGGCTACGGTACGCTAGGCTACTGGAAATTGATGAAAAAGTCAATTCCAGACAGCATTCGTTCCCAAGTCCAAGGCAAACGCAATGGTTTGTTGTTCAAATACATTCGAAGTCACCAATGGAGATGGGAACACATTGACTTCGACTTGCTGACCGCCACTGGCGAAGCTGTAAGATCTCTCATGCGGTGAAGAGAAAAGACCACTTTGATCGTTCGCCGGGTTTTGAAGCACAAAACCCTGCAAGGGTTGCAAACCACACTAAAACGGATGTTTTTTTTCATGGTTGTTTCCCACATGAAATCGAGCTGGCGCCACAGCGAAACAAGACTTTTTAAGCAATCATGGGCCGGTGCCAGGTCCGCCGGGATGTTTGTCCCATTGCCCCTGGGATGACCATAGCACATTCATCCCGTTCTGACCATGGCATTGCCACATGAAACGAATCAAGCCAGGTGAGGAAGACTCCGAAGCTGGTGAGGCGTGCACCTAGCAAATGATACAGTATTCGTAGGTGAATGGCTTCATTTCGAACAGAATTGCAGGAATTTTGGAAGGATATTGGGGATTAACCGTTTGTTTTTTCAAATGAATCAACCAACATTTTGAATGGTGAGGTACACTTCTATTGCTGGTGGCATCAAAGCTTAACTATGCAAGTGTCAGTGCCATGAGATCTGTGTTGGATTTTTGGGGTCTTCCATGGTCTTCCTAGCAGCTCTGTCAAGTCTTAAAGTCTTAAAGTCCCAAGTGGCTGGAATCAAAATGATTGGCTCCGAAAATGTTGGACCAATTACAACGACCTCACTACTGTACAACATCATTGGAATGATGGTTAGGGGTAACTATCCCCCAAAACCCTTATTTCACGGAGTCGGGCCGCAAGGGGAAGACGGGAGGCCTTATTCCACGGTGGTAAACTAATATAACGTGTGCAGAAAAATCGTATTTTGGTGCGGAAAAATGACTCATCGATGCTGTGACCTTGGCAATCCAAGTTTGGCCTGTGGCCATCCGATTGATTTGTGGTATAACGTGAGCCATTGAAAGTAACTTGGTAGATTTTAGTGGGTTTTGAGGTTATGATACCTAGCATGTTGGAGATTATGAAATGATCCATATTAGGGAAACCTATCAATCTCTATCAACCAAAAAGCGCAATGAGATGGTAAAACGAGGTAGTTTTAATGGCTCAAGTGGTGGTTTCAACCATGGCACCATTGTTTCCCCGGCAATGATCCCAAGTGGCACCAGGTCACTCTGGAGCTTTTGCTCACCAAATTGATTCAGGCTGGGCGAACAGCTTTCACAGGTCGTTAAAGCAACAGAAATGGGGATAGAAAACCAACCAGTCTATGGGGACACATATACATAGTGATATCTAATTGTATGATATACATATTGGTTTGTGGATATATATATATATATACATGCGCTCACTTGTTAGTGAGGCAATTTTTCATGGGATTTACAACCAACAAGGTATACCATGCAATACGATCAAGCTGGCTTTGTCGTGCCTGAACATGGGTGATGAATCATGGGGCAACCCTGAGGACCCTGGAGACCCTGGACCAGAGCTCTGTGATTCTTAAATCACAATTGGCTCTTACTGGATGATTTCCAAATTCCCAATCTACGGGGATACAAGTGATAGACCATCCATTTAGATACCTTTAAACCCTGCCTCCCAAAAAACATGGGGTTGACGACCAGAAGCATCGACAGATGAAATCCAAGTTGAACCATTCATCCCATTATATAAATTGGAAATCCCCTAAACATGCCGGTTTTCATGGGAACATCATGTAAAAATGGGGTCCTCAACATCAGATCTCTTCCCGCTTCTGAGGCGCAGCAAGACGAAGAGACCTGGAGCCGAGCACTGGAGCATTTCTTTGGCGCGCCTGTGGGATCTCTGTTGGACCCGGAGCTGGAGAAGGCAAGGTGATCCGCTTGGCAACTGCGTGGTTCCGTAGATGTCTTGGTTGAAACCGAAAGTTTAGCCTCTTATCTTACATAGCTATGGTATAGATTCGCCAATTTATAGATGATTGTTATACATATATATATATGTATATGTATATATATATATATGTATAGTTATGATGATGACGATGATGATGATGATGATGGTGGTGATGGTGAGGGTGAGGGTGATGGTGATGAACCTATAAAATGTATTTTTCCAGTTCGCTACGTTGAATAACCAGGAGCTCAAAAAACAATTGCGATACCCCTGAGCTTTCGCCTTGAGGTGAACAGAGCCATCCAGCAGACGGCCGCCACACTGCAAGTCGAAGGTCCCTGCCCACAGGCGGAGGATGGGAGAATGGGATGATGATGATGATGATGATGATGATGATGATGTTTCCCATTTGGGATAAACCCAGATTCAGGCTGTAAAGAGCACTCAGCAAGCTGCATGGTCCTTTTGACTTGGGGATGAATTGTTCTCCTTCAAATTATTCTATGATTGTTTCTCTGTTTGGTTTTTATTAGTTTTCTTTTGAAAGCTTTGGTATAGCCAGCGGTCAGGCCTTTTTAGTCACGGCATCGGGCATGCTAACTGGTGGGTGTCCATATCGCATGCTGGGAGGCATCTTGGAAGGGAATAACTAAGCAAGAAGTTGCTTCGGAAAATCAAATTGCAATGGTTAAATCTGGCAATGCCAATGAATATGTCCAAATCCTATTAATAGCGGAAGCGCACATAGTAAGTGTTATTTTGATTTATTTTTATTGTTTTGTGTCATGTTCTAGTTTATTTGTAAGAACAGCATTTTTTGACGAGTAGGACGAGTACATTGTGAATGCTGCTAGCCCCAGCTTGGTCGGACAGCAATAATGTTTAATTTTTGCATTATTTATATATATATATATACACACCGTTAAAAACAAAGTTAGAATGCGGTTTTGGCTTCGCGTGATGGTGGCCCGTTTGGCCCCCCCCCCCACGGCGGGCGCATTCTAACTGAAGAAACACCTGTGAATATGCAGAAGCACAGTTAGAATGCGGCGCAGAAATTGGTGAGAAAATGTAAGTTTTGACTGGTATTTTACAGGCGAAATGGAGTTAGAATGCGGTGCTTGAAAAACACACCAATAGCCCATGTCTCACAGTATTTGCTGGTATATGCGCGGAAAGTATCAGTTAGAATGCCTGCCGTTCATGGTTTGTACTTTTTGGGCAAATGGGAAAATGTATATATGTAATATTAAGTTTTATGATGTTGTTTATTTTTATGTTGATTCTCATGTAATTAATATATTTATTTCCCAAGGATCAGGCAGCTCCACGTAACCCTGAGGTCCTTTTCACCCTGCAACAATTTCACGTAACTTCCCGCAGGTGTACGATCAAATTGCCTGTGATATGCCTCCCACAGTCTAAAAGCATACTGTCAATGAGGTGACCCCGCCCCATGAGCACGCAGCAGCCACACAGCCCTTAATTTTCCCTTCCACGGCGCAAATACAATACAAACATACAAAACCCTTACCAAAATATGGCACCTCTTTTTATAACCTTGCGTCTCTTTTTTTAAGCCTCACCCTTTTTTTTTACACCTTGGAAAACTCTTTTTTCTAACCTTGCCTCGCCACCTCTCTTTTCAAACCTTGCCACCTCTTTTTCCTGACCTTGCACTGCACCTCCTTTTTTTTCCACCTTGCTGACCTTTTTTTCTGACCTCGCACCCTGGGATTGAGGTTCTGGAAGGTTCTGGGCTCCGGGAATTGGGAGATTCTGTGCCTATTTGTCCTATCTGCTTTATCTTTCCTATCCTATCTATCCTATTTGTCCGATCTGTCCTATCTATCCAATCTATCCTCACCTATCCGACCCTGACCTATATCTATCTTATCTTTATATCCAACTTTGGAGACCATTCTCTCGACCTTCCAATGCTATGCTATCCTATCCCTTCCTATGCAATTCAATCCTATCCATCCTATTCTGTCCTGTCCTGTCCTATCCCATCCCATCCCGTTTACCTGCGCATCTATCGATCTATCGATCTATCGATCTGCCTATCTATCTATCTATCTATCTATCTATCTATCTATCTATCTATCTATCTGTCTATTTATCTTTCTATCTATCTATCTGTCTGCCTATCTGTCTGTCTATCTATCTGTCTATCTGTCTGTTTATCTATCTATCTATCTATCCATCCATCCATCCTATCTATCCTATCTATCCTATCTATCCTATCTATCCTATCTATCCTATCTATCCTATCTATCCTATCGATCCTATCTATCCTATCTATCAATCCTATCGATCCTATCTATCAATCCTATCGATCCTATCGATCCTATCGATCCTATCTATCCTATCTGTCCTATCTATCCTATCGATCCTATCGATCCTATCGATCCTATCGATCCTATCTATCCTTTCTATCCTATCTGTCCTATCTATCCTATCTATCTATCTATCTATCTATCTATCTATCTAATTATCTATCAATCTATCTATGTATCTATCCATCTATCTATCTATCTATCTATCTATCTTGCTATGTGTCTGTCTATCTATCTATCGATCTATCTATTTATCTATCTATTTATCTATCTATATATCTATCATATCTACTAATCTATTAATATATTTATCAATTAATCAATTAATCGATATATCTATCTATCCATCCATCCAATTTTCTATATATAGTGATCCTAAATTAGATAGAATATTTTTTGGAGGGTGCGGGATTTATGTTGGAATTATGTTGGATGTCGGCTACTTAAAAAAAATAGATATTTGGAATATTTCGACCCCCCCCCAGGCGAGGTCGAAAATTGGTAGTTGGAATATGGTTTGGAGGGTTTTAAGCTGCTGTGGGGTCTGCGCGTTGTGCTTATAATTCCCTTAAAATATTTTATTTACCTGGTTTGAAATAATATTCTATTTATTTTTTGGTATTATTTAATTTTTATATTTTTTGAAATTTCTTTAGATCCATATTTAAAATTGGTTAAAATTAATTTAATAAAAAATAAAATATATAAAAAAAATAAGAATTTTAAATATATTATTATTATTTATTTAAAAAAAATATTAATAAATAAAAATAACCGATATTTTATTTATTTTAGGATAATTATATTTATTCATTGTTTTATTTATTTGTTTATTTAATTATATATTTATTTATTTATATATTGAATATATTTTTCTTGGATAAAAACGAATCTTAGGCAAAAAATATAAGCAAATTTGGATTTATAATATATCCCTATTAAAAAATTTTTTGTTTTAAGGATTTTTTTTCTTTACATAAAATAACCATTAAATTCTTTAATAAATTATTATATTTTATATTCTAGATTTTAAATTTAACATATTATATTTTTATTTTATCGATTTAATTATCTTTCTTTTTATTTTTTATATATTATTTACATTTAATATATCTTTTGATATTTTTATCTGACATATTTTCTGATATTCTATTTAATATATTTTGACATATCTTTTGACATTTTATTTGACATATCTTCTGATATATCTTTTAGTACCCTGAGGATTCGATATTGAAAAAAATTAATCCTGATCAATCCTGATCAATAATATTGAAAATGATTTTTTTCAATACCAGGAAAATATGTTTTTTAATATCGAGGATTGAAAGAAAAGATCAATATTTTTAATCAATATCGATTAATAGCATGATCAATATCATATAGTAGTATCATCAGCAAATCAAGACCATTATCAGTCTTCAGCTACAATTGTCAGATTCATTTTTCAAGCATGTAGGGGGCCATTAGAGGCATTCACAACACGCAAGCTTCTATTTTATACTCATATGTGCCAGAGCTGTTTTTGCTTATAGCAAATTTAAACTCATTGCCTGGTCTGGGCCTGAAAGAAGGTCATTCTTCAAAGTTTTGGGGTTTTAGCTGGTGCGTTGTGGGCTTGAAAAATCAATCATCTTCAAGGGATTTGAATCTGAGGATTTTCAGCTTGCTAGGGCTTGAAAGAAAGCCATGACATCCAAGGGTGGAGCACGTAGGTCATTGGTGCCACCAGTGGACTTGGATGCTTTGCGAAAAATTTTTGAGACAGCTGTGGCCACCCAAGGTGCTGATGCTTTTAAACTTGGTGACTATCAGGAGAAAAGTGTAAGCACAGCTGTGAGCTCTGCAGGTTTGCACCACAATGCAAAGTATGTCAAGGAGTTCTACAAAATCTCAGAAGGAGAAATTCCCTCTGGGTAGTTGAAGCAGTACATCCTCAAATATGGGTACACTCACAACGACAGTGAGTGGAAGGATGACCTGTGGGCAGGTAAGCTTGCAAGTCAATTTGTCTGCTTGCTCAGCCATGTGAGAAGACTGAAAAGAGACTCTTCGAAACTAAGGCAGTGCCTGCAGGGAGCTACAGGGGCTGAAAGGCAATCCATTCTTGAAATTGTGGATTTGCCAGATGCTTGCAAGAAAGCAGCCCCAGGTCCTGAGGATGACCAGGCCTGCAAGAAGGCCAAAGCTGCCAAGGAGACTTCTTCTGCGAAAGCTGCAGAGGCTGGTGGCCAAGGAAGTTCCAGCTCTGCTTCTTTGAAAGAACCCGAGGAGCAGGCCTGCAAGAAGGCCAGAACTTTGAAACTACAAGTTTCAGATGTTTCTGTGGACTCCCATGGCTGGCCAGCCATTCTCAATTCTCCACAGGCTGCAAAAGAAGAAGAAGAAGAAGTGAAAGATTGCTTTTCCAGAAACATGACAATTCTGGAAAAAATGAGGGTAAGCTGCAAGGAGCAGCTGGATAAAGCTGCACAAGAGGCAGCCCAAGAGTTGGTTGAGAGCAGACCAGGGCTTGAAAGAAGGTCAGAAATCCAAAAAAAGCCAGCCAGCAAAGAATGCAAAAAAAAGCCAGCTTCGAAGAAAGCTTCCTTGCCCAAGGCAAAAAGCTTAAGGCCTGAAAAAAGGCCCACAGAGAAGCAAGGACCAAAAAAAGAAGCAGCACCATAGCCAGAACCATTGGTGGCAGCAGAAGGGCCAAGGCCTGAAAGAAGGCCATGGTCAGCAGTGAAAAAAATCATGGGCAAGGACCAAGCCTATCTCATGGGCCTTTTTGGAAGAGATTGGAAGCTCATCATTGGCTGCACCAAAAGAATGGAAAAGATTTTCCCAGGTGGGCATCACGCTGTGATTTTGGAGCTGGAAAAGGTGGCCATGGAGGAGGACATAATAAAGGAAAACATGAAAGAAAAAAGAGACGATTTAGTCAAAAATGTAAATTGAATGCCTGAAAGAAGGCATATACCTTTCTAACAGGGCAAGGCCTGAAAAAAGGCCACTAGGAGGGTTCAGGCCGCAGCCATGTGCAAAGCACATGGCCAGGACTTTTTTCTTGGCCAAAAAAAATTGTGGTTTGGGGTTTGGGTAAAGTGTTTGTTTTTGTGGGGCAGGGGATAGCCAACGAAATTTAAAGAAAAACCTCACCGTTTTCACTGTCATTCTTTTTGTACTTAGGTTATGACCTGAGTGTTCCAGGGGTGTTATGTTCACCAAAAAGGGTTTAACATAGTAGGCGAAAGCAATCTGTTTGTTGCCTGCAGCCTTTTGAGCCTCAAAACCGAAGATAGGTGGGGGGGCACCTTTCAACCTCTAAGCGCACTTCAACTTAAGGCCTGCAAGAAGGCCCAGCAATTCAATCACTTGCAAATCTTCCAGCTCAAGGCCTGCAAGAAGGCCATCTGAAACCACATGACCTGGTGGGTAGGCCGAGCTTATGCTGGCTATGTGCCCTGGGGTCATGAAAAGGATTGGGATGATGGCGACACCTGGACTGGCTGGGAAAGGGAGCCTGATAGGGAGCTGAGAGACAGGGAGAGAAGGTGGAGGGACAGGGATGAGGAGGAGGAATCATCCTCTGACAACTCCCTGCGCAGGGGGCAGAGGAGACAGGAGGAGGAGGCTCCCAGAAGCACACAGGGCCGCCTCTTTGGCCCAAGCCCTGCAGAGGCAGCCAGGGAAGGCCTACAAGAAGGCCAAAAAGGGAAAAGCAAAGGCAAAGCCAAGGCCAAAGAAAAGGGGTCAGGTGCAAGCAGCAGCAGGCCTGAAAGAAGGCCAGCTTTTGTCCCTGAGCATCGACCAGGGGAGGAGGATTGGGACCCTTTCAGGCAAGAAGCCAGGGGCAAGAGGGGAAGGGAAGCGAGAAAGGCTTTGAGGGCCAGAGACCCTGAAGTCCAAGCCAGGAAAGAGAAGGGCCTGAAAGAAGGCTTTAAGGAAGACAAGGTTCAGCCTTTGCATGAAGGGAGCAGGAAATGGAGGATGATCAAGGAGAGGGAGAAGGAGGTGAAGGAGGAGGAGGAGTAACTAATGCTTGAAAGAAAGCAGTTGCTGGAAGAGAAGGTTGCATGGCTCAGCAAGCAGGAGATGAGCCCCAGCCCTGCCAGAGGGGTTGCCCTGCAGGAAGGGCCAGGGGCCAGGCCTGAAAGAAGGCCAAAAAGGAAGGACAGCAGCAGCAGCAGGCCTGAAAGAAGGCCAAAAAGGAAGGACAGCAGCAGCAGCAGGCCTGAAAGAAGGCCTAAACAAAAAGCCGGCAGATCCTCCTCCTCTTCTTATTCATATGAATACAGTGAAGAGGAGGAGGTATTTGTGGAGGAGAAGCAGCCAGACTGGCAGGAGGAGGAGGAGGAGAAAGAGGAAAAGGAGCAGGAGGAGCAGCCAAAGAAAAAGGACCCCAAGGACAAGGAAAAGAAAGCTGCAAAGGAGGAGGAGGAGCGAAAGGAGAAAAAGGTTTCCAAGGAAAAGGAAGCTGCAAAGAAGGAGAAGAAGCCCCAAAAGGAAGAGAAGCCCAAGGAGAAGGAGAAGGAAGATGCAAGGATATGGAGGAGGGGAAAACAGCCAAGAAGCGAAAGGAAAGGAAGAAAGTGGTCAAGGAGGAGGAGGAGGGGCAGGAGGAGGGAAAAGAAAAAAGAGAGAAAGAGGTGGATGCTTCTGACCTGTGAAGCTTGAAAGAAAGCCACAGGGAAGAAATTGGCATGCACAAAAACTTGGCTTGAGAGAAAGCCACAAGGAGGAAAAGTAACCAAAAACAGGTTTGAAAGAAAGCCAAACCACCTCAGGCTGTCTCACCAGGGGACAGGCCTGAAAGAAGGCCCCCCTGCTTCAGCGACCAATAAATAAAAAAGAAAAAAAGATAATAAATAATATAATAAGAAATTTAAAAGTAAATAAAATATTGAAAAATAAAATAAAATGAAATAATAAGAAATAATAGTTAAGGTAACTGAAAGAGAGCCAATACTATTTGAAAAAAGAAGAAACATTTAATTTAAAAAAGCATGTCATAAAAATGTTATAATTTAAAAAAATAACTTCAACTGCGCCTAAACTACGCGAAACCATCCTGTGAAGTTCCCAACTGCGCGAAACCTGCGCGAAACCATCCTGTGAAGTTCCCAACTGCGCGAAACCTGCGCGAAACCATCCTGTGGAGTTCCCAACTGCGCGAAACCTGCGCGAAACCATCCTGTGGAGTTCCCAACTGCGCGAAACCTGCGCGAAACCATCCTGTGGAGTTCCCTGGGGTCTGGCAAACTCACACGCATGTTTTTTTTTTAATGTTAACTTTCAAACTTCATGTAAACCAAAACCTTTTTTTTCTGTAGCAATTTCAGAACTCAAATCCCCAGCCGTACTTGGAGGCTATGGCCAAGAAAAGGCCTGCATCCCTTGAGGGCTTGAAAGAAAGCCAGAAAAAAAAAACGCAGAAACTGAATGAAAAAAATGAGGAAAGCCAACCACTGAAAGCAACACAAGAGACAAGTGCTGAGGAGAAGCAGCAAGAAGGCCTGCAAGAAGGCCAAGTAGGAGCTTCTGAGCCCGAAGCAACTCAGGAAGAAGCAACCCAGGGGGCAACTGCTGAGGAGCAGCAAGAGGGCCTGCAAGAAGGCCACCAACCAGATGCTTCTGAAGAAGGGAAACCAGCTGCTGAGGCTGAGATAGAGGAAGCAGCAAAGATGCTTCCAGAAAGTGTAGCAAAGGCAGCCCAGGCAAGCCTGAAAGAAGGCTCTGAGGCTGGTGCCACTTTGACTTCTTCCAGGCTCAAACTTCACGAAAAAACACAGGCAGCCATCCAAGGCCTGAAAGAAGGCCACCTGTCAGAGGCTGCATTCTGGCAGGAAATCTCCAACAAAGACAGAGCTGCCTTGTGGAAAAAATATGAAGGAGCCAGGAACAAAGACCCTGAAGCCAAAGCAGCTTGGCTCCAGATGGGTGGCCCAGGTGTCCTGGATCAGAAGAAGCAACTGCTTCTGCACTTCCTGAAGACTGGTCAGGCCCAGGAAGGGGGCTTGAAAAAAAGCCAAGAAGTCGCCAACTCCAAGAAGGAGAAAGAATGGTTTGAGTGGGTCCCCTGGAAGCAGATCCTTGACTGGTATGGGGAAGAGGAGGCCCTGGCCAGGGTAGAGAGTGGTTTAATAGCAGTGAAAAAGGTGGGAAAGAAATTCTATGAATTTCTCCTGGTGAAGATCAGGACCGAGCTCACACTGGAGCAAAAAAAAAGGATTGCTGCTGAGCAAGAAATAGCACTGCAAGGTGAGGAACTGAAGGCCTGCAAGAAGGCCTTAGCAGCAGCAAGAACAAAACAGGAATGGGATGACCTTTGGCTTGAAAAAAAGCCACAGAAAGGCTTCCAGGTTGAAGATGCTTTGTCAGAACCTTCTGAAACTTCTTCTGAACATGAGGACGAAAGTTCAGCAGAGCAACATAATCCTGCAGCAAGTTTCCTGCAAGGCCTGAAAAAAGGCCAGGCTATGGTCTCTCAGAAAAAAGAAAAAAGAAATGATGACAAGCAGAAGCACCTCGCAAAGGAAGAGAAAGTCAAGGAGGAGGACAGCAGAGCTTGCAAGAAAGCTCAGGCAGAGAAGACTAAGATTGCCAAAAAAAAGGAAGCAGACAAAAAATGGCACACAAAGTTAGAGGAAGCCACACAAGTGGGTGAAAACGAAAAGGACAGTAAGGTCAAGAAGATGCTGGCCTTGGTCAGCAAAGGAGTGGCTGATTTGAAGAAGGCTTGCAAGAAAGCCAAAGATGCCAGCTGGGGTGCAGATGTCCTGCAAGCTCTCATCAAATCTAGAGACAGCTTGGAAGATTTGGCAACAGATGGTGAGCTGGAAGGCATCAAGAACCACTTGCTGGAAGCAGCATCAGCTCTGAAGGCTTTCAAGAAATTGCTCACTGCCTAGGATTGGCCTGAAAGAAGGCCTGGGACATGGCCACTTTTGCCTTGACTTGCGACAGCATGGTTGCCCCGCAAAAAAAATAAGCAGCTTGCATGCCCAGCCCCCAGGCAGCTTTTTTTGGGTAAAGAGGTTCACCTGTAAGATACATGCATGCTGCAGCTGTTTTTGATGGCTCAAGGTCATGCCAGGCATCCATCAGAAAATAGAATTAACAAACACTAGGAAAAGACCAGCTCCAGGCCTGAAAGAAGGCCAGGCTCTAAGCAAGAAACTTTTGCAACTTTGGTCCCTGGGGAAATTAAGTAGCTCAGGGCTCCAAGAAATCGCTTTTGCAGCCACTGCAGATGGCTTGCAATGTGAGAGCATAGTGGAATTGAGCGGCTTAGGAACCTTTGGTCAATACCCAAGCAATTGTCATAGAGACCTTGTAAGGCTATTAAGGGCTAGGTTGAAAAAGTCCATGCACGGGGGCTTGCAAGAAAGCCCAACAATTTCCATTCAGGTTCCTGCCTTGGATGCCAAAGAAGAAAATCCAGAGACCAAGGCAGCATGCCACATTGTACTGCCACATTTGCTGGCTTGGCAATTATTCAGCAGCTATCCTAAGTTGGCTCCTTCGCTTTTTGGCCTTCACAAGTTGAAAGCTTTCTGGGGAAACTTGAAAAGCAATGACCCCAGGCTGTGGGACAGTGGCTTGAAAGAAAGCCAAAAACACAAAACCATCCCTCTCTGGCTTCATGGAGATGGTGTCGAATTTTCCACAGACTCCTTAATGACATTCACCTGGGGACCCACGCTTTATGCTCCTCAAGGCCTGAAAGAAGGCCCAAGGGAAATGCATCCCAGCCACCCCATGGATAGTTCTTTCCTCATAACTGCATGGCCAAAGTCAGCAGCTGCTTCCAACACATGGGTGGAAATCCATGAGGTCATGGCTTGGAGCTTCACTGCTCTTTTCCAAGGTTTTCACCCAGACGTGGATTGGAAAGGGAGGCCACTGCCAACAAATTTGAAAAGGCTTGCAAGAAAGCCAATTACACCTGAGGGGCATTCCTTCTGGGTGTTCAATTTTTTAGGCGATTTGGAATACTATGCAAATCACCTAGGTTTCCCCCATTGGCAAAGCAAAAAAAATTGCTGGCTCTGTGATTGTGAGAAAGGAAACCATCTGAAAAACCCTTTTGATTTCACCTCTGAACCTGGATGGGAAATGAAATCTTTGGAAGGCTTGAAAGAAAGCCCTTGCACCAACCACACTCTGTTCAAAATCCCTGGTGGCCTACCAGAATACAGAGTGTGCTTCGATGTCTTGCACACTTTAGATTTAGGTGTGACTGCCAGGTTGGCAGGCTCCATCCTACATGCCTGGGCATATCCACCTGGATCCAAAAAAGAGGTTGGGCCTGGCAACACTGCCAAAATATGGGCACTACTCAAAGAAGCATACGCAGAATTGCACATCACAGAGAAGTACAACAACCTCGTGGTTTCTATGTTTACTTCTGAAAGAAACCCATTTTCACAGCCAGCAAAGCTCAAAGGCCATGCAGGAGAGATTCGACATCTCATGCCAGCATTAGCCATGGTGGCCTGGAAGAAGGCCAGTGAATGTGAGGCTTTTGCCCACATGGCTGAATGCTGCCACCAAATGGCAAATTTCTATGCCATCATTTCAGAAGATGATTTTTTCATGAAGGACAGCACAAAAGCTGAGAAGTGCTTGAAAGAAAGCATGCAGCATTACATTTGGTTGCACCGCCATTTTGGAGATGAAGTCAGATTCACATTGACGCCTAAATGCCACTATGTGGCACACATTGCTTTGATGCTGCATTTCCAAAACCCAGCTACCTGCTGGACATACAAGCAAGAATCATTCATGGGATACATTGCAACCTTGGGCCACAGCTGCTCACATGGAACCAGAGCTTCGAGAATCAGTGAATCTTTCATCACAAAGTACACCATGGCTGTGCAGCTCAGAATCAATGAAATAATTTAGAGGCTTGAAAGAAAGCCAAGCCTGGAATGCTGCTGTAGACATGGCTTCAAAGAAAGCCCTGACACCTTCAGCTTGTCAAAGAAAAAGCTTTGCCAAGATCAATATCGATCAATATCATTTTCAATATTTTTCATCAATTTTAATCAATCTTGATCAATCTCAAGATCAATATAGGATTGATCATGGTATTGATTTTTGAGGTCCCAACATGTGCCATTTTCAATATTATTGAAAATGATTTTTTTTCAATACAGGGATTGAAGTTTTTCAATATCGGATCCTCAGGGTTCGGCAGATACAGCAGATTCGGCAGAAGTTCGGCAAATTCAGCAAAGTTCGGCAGATTCGGCGAAAGTTCGGAAAGTTCGGCAAAAGTTCGGAAAGTTCGGCAAAAGTTCGGAAAGTTGGCAAAAGTTCGGAAAGTTCAATAGATTCGGCCAAAGTTCGGAAAGTTCGGCAGATTCATCAAAGTTCGGCAGATTGAACAAAAGTTCGGTAGATTCAACTTAAGTTCGGCAGATTCATCAAAGTTCGGCAGATTCAAGAAAAGGTCGGCAGATTCATCAAAGTTCGGCAAGTTCAAGAAAAGTTCGGCAGATTCGGCAAAAGTTCGGCAGATTCGGCAAAAGTTCGGAAAGTTCGGCAAAAGTTCGGCAGGTAAAGTTGGGCATGTGATGCACGCATATTTGCACGCTTCCGGAAGGCGTCGCACGCTTATTTGCACGCTTCCGGAAGGTTTCGCACGCTTATTTTTTACCAATTTTCGGCAAGTTCGGCAAAAGTTCGGAAAGTTCGGCAAAAGTTCGGAAAGTTCAGCAGATTCGGCAAAAGTCCGGAAAGTTCGGCCAAAATTCGGAAAGTTCGGCAAAAGTTCGGAAAGTTCGGCAAAAGTTCGGAAAGTTTGGCAGATTCGGCAAAAGTTCGGCAGATTCGGCAAAAGTTCGGAAAGTTCGGCAAAGTTCGGCAAAAGTTCGGAAAGTTCGGCAAAAGTTCGGAAAGTTCGGCAGATTCGGCAAAAGTTCGGCAAATTCAACTTCAGTTCGGCAAATTCAACTTAAGTTCGGCAAATTCAGCAAAGTTCGGCAGATTCGGCAAAAGTTCGGAAAGTTCGGCAAAAGTTCGGAAAGTTCGGCACAAGTTCGGAAAGTTCGGCAGATTCGGCAAAAGTTCGGCAGATACAGCAGATTCGGCAGAAGTTCGGCAGATTCGGCAAAAGTTCGGAAAGTTCGGCAAAAGTTCGGCAGATTCGGCAAAAGTTCGGCAAATTCAACTTCAGTTCGGCGGATTCATCAAAGTTCGGCATATTCGGCAAAAGTTCGGAAAGTTCGGCAAAAAATTCGGAAAGTTCGGCAAAAGTTCGGAAAGTTCGGCACAAGCTCGGAAAGTTCGGCAGATTCGGCAAAAGTTCGGCAGATATACAGCAATTCGGCAGATTCGGCAGAAGTTCGGCAGATCGGAAAGTTCGGCAAAAGTTCGGAAAGTTCGGCAAGAGTTCGGCAGATTCGGCAAAAGTTCGGCAAATTTAACTTAAGTTCGGCAAATTCAGCAAAGTTCGGCAGATTCGGCAAAAGTTCGGAAAGTTCGGCAAAACAGATTCGGCAAAAGTTCGGCAAATTCAACTTCAGTTCGGCAGATTCATCAAAGTTCGGCAGAGCAAAGATCGATGAGCCAAAAGTTCAAGTTAACGGCAGATGGGCCAAAAGTTCGGCAGATATAGAGAGCACAAAGTTCGGCAGATGGAGCAAAAGTTCGGCAGATGGAGCAAAAGTTCGGCAGATTTAACAAAAGTTCGGCAGATGAGCCAAAAGTTCGGCAGATGGAGGTACAGTTCGGCAGATGGAGGTAAAGTTCGGCAGATGGGCCAAAAGTCGGCGGATATGACATTCGGAAGATGGAGCTATAAGTTCGGCAGATGGACCTGGAGCACTTTTACAAGTATACGGCAGATTAGATGCTGCAGCAAAAAGTTCGGCAGATGTAGCACAAAGTTCGGCAGATGGAGCATGCAAATTTGGCAGGTGGAGCGCAAGTTCGGTATACCAGGGCACTCGATCTTCTACCTGCTCTAAAAACTACTCCTTTCTATAGAAATCTCTTTTTCTGTCACAAGAAATCTCTACTTCTGGGTTCGAAATACCTCTTCTACTCTATATACTTTCTGTGAGCACTGTTCTCTAGAAACTTAAGGAATTACTATTCTGAACATTTTCCTTTAGACACCTCTACTTCTGAGCACTTTTTTCTCCCAAAATTCCCTCTAAGCATATTTCTATAGAAACTTCCAACTATTAATGCTTCATGGACGTTGAGGTGATGCTTCGTGGGCGGTTGCGTCCTCAAAACTGCCTGGCAGGAGCATTACCAAAGGCTGTACCTAGATCTTCCTTTGGCTGACATGATTGCAGCACGTGTTCTTCTTTCTGCCTGGCAGGCACAATGCCAAAGGCATTCTTGACAGAGCCCCATGGACCTGGAGGTGGTGCTTCGTGGGCGGGTGCGTCCTCAAAACTGCTTGGCAGGAGCATTACCAAAGGCTACCTAGATCTTCCTGTGGGCTGGCATGATTGCAGCACGTGTTCTTCTGTCTGTCTGGCAGGCACCATGCCAGAAGCATTCTTGACAGAGCCCCATGGACCTGGAGGTGGTGCTTCGTGGGCGGGTGCGTCCTCAAAACTGCTTGGCAGGAGCATTACCACAGCCTACCTAGATCTTCCTTTGGCTGACATGATTGCAGCACGTGTTCTTCTTTCTGCCTGGCAGGCACCATGCCAGAGGCATTCTTGACAGAGCCCCATGGACCTGGAGGTGGTGCTTCGTGGGCGGGTGCATCCTCAAAACTGCTTGGCAGGAGCATTACCAAAGGCTGTACCTAGATCTTCCTTTGGCTGACATGATTGCAGCACGTGTTCTTCTTTCTGCCTGGCAGGCACAATGCCAAAGGCATTCTTGACAGAGCCCCATGGACCTGGAGGTGGTGCTTCGTGGGCGGGTGCGTCCTCAA